CAAATCAGACGATATTAAAAACTATCTGCGTTCAAAAAATGTAAACCAATATTTCATTGTCGACCAAAACCATTCTGCTCTTGGTGTCATTGACAGTTGTATAAAAATCTTAAGAGACTTAAACCAACCACAAGGTGGTGAGGTAGATGAAATGTCATATGACGACAAGTACAGACACTTCTCCATGGCAAAGATGAGACAAGTTTTAAATATTTACAATAACCGTAAACAAAAAGGTTTGGGGAACCACTCCCCCGAAGAAATGAAAAACAACCCTGACTTAGAGAAAGACTATATATTTAATAGTTTAGTCAAAAGAGACAAACAAGAAAGAATGCCAGGCTTCAAACTTAAGAAAGGTGACAAAGTAAAAATAGAAATACCTAAACGCGACCCATATGAAAATACTATTGACTATGACAACAATGGGAACTCGGCAGGTACTCACGTTCGTGTTCGTAAAAATAGAAGAAAGTATACAAGAGAATATTATGAAGTTTTAGGCAAACATGGCAAAATGTACAGACTGCAAGCAGAAGATAAAACTACTATTGTCAGACCTCGTTTCAAACTTGTTAAGGTTCAAGGTGGTATACTTTCAAAGACAGTTCCTAACAAATATAAGACAACTCCTGACGAATATGCTAAAGAAGTTGAAAATGACGACTAAGCATTTCTATACCATGCGTAAACTGTCATGTAAGGTGGCATGTAGTCTTTACTCTGTCCCGTTGTTTGCGTATACCCTGAAACGCGATGTGTATGGTTTCCTTCTCCCTGTGTGCTACCCCAGAAACAATTTATAGCAAACTGAACGTCGTCTTTAACATCATATCCCTTACCTTTTTTCATTGCTGACCAATCCCAAAATCTATGCTTATGCCAACCTGCTTCAGATGTACTTAAATCTATGTAGTGACTGTGTGCAGGTAAGTTTTCACCTGAAATCGTTTTACTTCCACCTGTTTCCTTTGAAGAGTTTGCACAATACAAAAACCTGTCGACTATTTGAGTCCAAGTTCCAAAACCAAGTACTACTTCTGGTCTGGTAGAGTTCATTGACGTGTAAATAGAACCTATAGGATATAGTGTTTGAAGTATTTCTGTCTTTAACGTTTGAAGCTCTGTTTTGTCAGCTTTCTTATCATATAAATCTTGAGCAGTGAATTTAACTTTGTTTTCATCCTCCATGACATAGACATTTCTACATCTAATGTCTTTATCCGATGTTAAACCTTCTGGAAAGTTAGGAGGTTTAAAATATAATCCACCCCCACCAGTTTCTTCAATCGTTCCTAAAATACTTTCTATACCAACAGTTGAGAAGAAGTTATGTGTATGTCCAACGTCACTTTTCCTGTTTAAGGTTTCTTGTAAGTTTGTAATATTTGCAATGGTATGTGTATGTCCAACGTCACTTTTCCTGTTTAAGGTTTCTTGTAAGTTTGTAATATTTGCAATGGTATGTGTATGGTTCTTATCCGCTTTAAGGTCTAAACATCCTGAAACCCACCCTGTATCGGCTTTAGTTTTTAAAATCTTTGTTGTCCGTTCATGGTACCATTCAACCATTTCTTTAATTTTTTCATCTTTTTCATCCACATATTCCTTATCTGCCTTCTTCACTAACCCACTAGCCACATATGCTAACTCATCGTCAACATATGTTTTATCTGCTTTCTTTTCAACATCCTCTTTTGTTGCATATGTTGCATCTGCTCTGTCATGTTCTTCTTGAACTTTTTCAATGACATACTCTTTGTCAGCTTTGTTGTCAATATCTGCTTTCAAAAGAAGTTCATCTATAGGCTTCTCGTTTAAAGTTCTTTTTGTTGGATTTATACAAACAGTATGGTTCTTACTGTCTTGAAACAGAAACTCGTCTGTCAATGGGTTTATCGTCAGTTTTAAGTTTCCTTCTTTCAATGACTCAGATATCTTAGAATAGTTTGAAAAGTTTGTTGTGTTCTTATTTAGAGCTTGTATAATGAGTTGTCGGTTGTGTTGTATTTCTCTCATAGACGCTGTTTCTTTCGACATTTTTATTCTAGATAAAATATGCTTTCAATAGAAAAAGAAAATTCAAGAGTTGCTACAACTAAACCATTAGATGAACTTTTTACGAATGTCGGTCAAAAGTTTGAGACAGAGACCGTAAAGCATGAAGGCTATCGTTTTGACTACCCACTAAGATGGTTAAGAGACCCATCCGTCACAAAAGCTATTGGCTTTCGTAGAATGAAGTTCATTTCAGAAGCCATACATGGTTTCCCATTTACGGTCTTTTTGAAGTTCGATACTATAACAAAGAAAAACGTACGTATGAGAAATTTGAACAGGGAAAACTTTTACAAGTGAATTTGCTTGTAAACTTAGAAACAACTCTTCAAGCTTTTCAAGAAAAAATAAACGATTATCTATATCGAATATGCAAACCAGTTTAACATTGACGAAGGAGAGTACCATCTCGATATTATATATGACAGGAAAAATGCAACTGTTAAATTCAATAGAATAGAAGACCTTGGAGAAAACGTTTATATTTCTACAAAATATAACAACTTGGCATGGTATAGGTTTTCTGAGGATGTTAAATCAGCCTGCAGAATATCCAGTACACCCGGACTTTTATGAAGTCGAAAACCCTAATGGAACATATGAAAATGTTTTTGACTCAGATGCTATTATCGTTCATGCTCATTTTTCTGGCGCCCAAAACTCTTTTTTATGCTTGGCAAATGACTTTTACGAAAAACCTACAAAGCTATATGAACCACCGAGTGGAAGTATTTCAGACTTTCAAGTATGGTTTACAACGATGGAAGAAAGAGAATAGTTCCATTATACCATGCGTTTTACTTAGAACTTAGTCTCATATACAACTACTATCGAACGGTAAAAATATAATTTTAATACGGTTGAGGTGTTGGATTTGTTGCCAAACTAGACTGTGGTGCAGGTTCAGGCTGTTGTGTATAAACAGGAGCTTGTTCTTGGTTTCAGGGTCTTTATATAATACCAACGAACTGACCTACTCTTTTACCAATATTTTTGACTCCGTTCCAAATTCCTCTTCCGACGGTTTTTATTCCATTCCATATACCTCTTCCAACATTTCGAAAGAAGTTTCCTATTCTTCCAAAGAAACCCATTTTACTATATGTAAAAATCTAATGTCCGCCTAGTCTCTTACGTTTCCTTCTGAGTTCCATAGCATTTTTTAACTGGAGCTCATACATTCTATTTCTCCTCTGGTAGAAAACATACTCTGGGTCAACTCCTGTGTTCGCGTCATCTGCATAGAGTTGTTTATATCCCACTTCAGGGTTTGTATAAAACTCTTTCCATCTCATATTTGCATACCATGGTGGTAAGCCTAACGCAGCGTCATTTGACATGGCAGTTTGCATTTGTACATCTGTTGGCACTTGACCATAGTTTGCCATTGCAGTTTGTATTCTAACTTCATTTGGAATATTCTCTGGGTTTGGTTGTCCAGGTTGCTGTGCATTCGCTAAGTTCTGTGCGTCCATTTAATATTAGATAAAAATATCTCTTACGAGTACATATGCTGAACATTTGCTGGTATTGGTTCATCTTCATATTCTCTATATCTTTCTGCCACGTCAAATAAGTAAATGACACAATGGAAAAAACCTAAAACAAGTAGTCCTATTTCAAACCACATTTACTTACCAATAAAATTTCTTTGTTGTGACACTTTCTCCGGTTTATAGGACCTCTCTCATATTCTATCTTATCGTATCTAAACTCATAGTCATGTATGTCCTCTAACCATCTCATAACACTTTCCAAACCACTTTTATCGGATGTAAAGTAAAAGCATGGATGGTTATGTAAAACGTCTAAAGTTTCTAAAGAGTCTCTCAAAGTCCAGTCTACTTGGTATTGAAAATCCCATGTGTTATAGAACGGCGGGTCCACTATAAAGAAAACATTTTCCTTGTCTTTATATTTTTCATACAACTCTGTCCAACGACATCTCACAAACTCTATACCCTCAGTATATTTTTCTATGTTCTTTTTGAAAACCTTTGTATAGTTAAGATATAAAACGTTTGACATAAGTGTTTCAATGTCATGAACTCTTATAGAACCACTATACAATAGTCTAGAAGATATACTATCCCAGTCAATATACTCTGCTTTTTTCAAAACCTCTCTGACAGTATTTTTCTTATCTAATGGTATACGTTCCATCTTACCTATAGGTATCTTTTCTTTCAACTCACTCAATATTTTGTTTGTGTCTGGTATATGTTTGAGACGGTTCATATAGTTGTCGAAGTCATTGCATATAATCTTTGAGTCAGGAAATACAGTATGGCACAAATGAGATATATAGAAACTTCCACCGAACAAATCTACAAATGTTAGACCATTCGGTAGTTTCTTAAGTTCTCTCAATAGAATATCTTTACATCTACTCTTATTTCCAAAGAAGGGTAACGGTGGTTTTGTAAAATTCATTTTATATTTAATAAAAATGTTTTTTCCCTGAAAAGTGACAAAACATCTTCAGGGGGCTAGAGGGGCGCAGCCCTGGAAGCCCCAATACTTTTTTTTTTTTTTTAAATGACGAAGAAATTCATGTAACTTACAAATTTTACTGCTCAATTTTCAATTCAATTTCAAAATTTGAATGCATCCTTTATCAACATTTATCGCTCTAATTCATGATGAAAACTTTTCTCTCTCAAAAAATAGTTCGTAAATACACTACAGATCAACGACATTTTATAAATGTTGATGTATGCCAAGCTTTCTCATAAGGATTTTTAACCCTGACGATCGCCGGGATAATAAAAGTGCCAATATTTTGTTTGGATACGGCATTCAAACAAGAATATAATTTCATCATTAACTCATATTCCTGGTCCAATATTCGGCAATGATAACGATTATAATTTTTAATGTAAAAAAAAATTGTGATAAAATTTTCCAAATTTTCAAAACTTTACATTTGACGATCATCAAAAATGCCATCGCCGAAAACCATAGTTATTGTAGGTGGAGGTCCACGAGGCGTTTCCGTTCTCGAACGCCTTGTTGCTATTCTTAATTCAAGACGTAATGTTGAAGAATTAACCATCAAATTGATTGATAGGATCCAGCCTGGAGCAGGAGCTATTTGGGAGACGTCACAAACAAGAGTATTATGTATGAACACCCTTGCCGATGCAGTTACTCTCTTTACTGAACCAGGATCTACAATTTCAGCTCCAATTGAGCCAGGACCAACACTTTATCAATGGATCAAAGCAACATTGTATAAATCATATAATGATGATCAAAATATTCTTACCAGTTTTGCTGAGGAACTTCATGAATTGCGTCCAGAATCACATCCAAGCAGAGCTTTGTACGGTGAATATATTAATTGGTTTTACAACAAAGTAAAGGCAAAAATCCCATCATTTGTACATTTTGAAGAAATCAAAGCAATTGTTCAAAAAATTGAGAGAAAAGAAGAATATGATGTACTTTATCTTAACAATGGAACAACAATCAACTCAGATGCAACTGTTATTGCTAGCGGATGGGAACGCCCAAGCTACGATGAAGAAGAAACAAAATTATTCAATGAAATTTCAGCCTATAACTCGAATAAACCAGAGAATGAGCACTTACATTGGATAGAGCCTGATAATCCGATCGAACAAAACGCTGAAATCATACCAAAAGGCGAATTTGTCATCACAAGAGGCCTTGGTATGGGATTCTTCGATTTTGTCAGCTTAGTTACAATTGGAAGAGGTGGCCAATTCATTGGAGACCAGATTTCCCTTGATTTAGAATACAAACCATCTGGCAATGAACCAAAAATCTTTGTTGCATCAGGAAGAGGCTATCCATATCTTCCAAAGTCTCTTTATGACTCATTACCACCCGATTCACCACTTACAAGGCTCAAAAAAGTCATCAGTGAGATCAATAAAAATTATCCAATTGAAAATGACGGATGGTCGAAAGAATTAGTTGATTTTACGACACAAGTTTTCCCAGCAATCATCAGAGATGCATATGATGCCTTCTATACAACATTGTGGACATTTCATCCAGAAAAAGTTCACAAACCAATAGAAGAAATCAGGCAACTCATTGATAACTTAGATCCTCTTAAGTTATATGAGAAAGTTGCTGACGAATTATTAGTTGTTGCCGATGAACATCCAGATTTGGAAAGATATAATTTGAAGAATTTGTCTTCCATTGAAGAATTGACACAAAATGTGAATGATCTCATAGAAAAAGACCTTTTGGATAGTCATCTCGCGTACACAAGTCCTCAGAAAGCATTCCTTTGGTCTATTTCATGCTGCAGAAAGCCAGCGAGTATTTTAGGAGCAGGAAGATACACGCAAGAATCAAGGAAAGGAATTTATGGAAGATTGATGAGATTCGGACAAATGGTTGGCTCTGGACCTCCAGCATTTAGAACTGCACAGTTAAGAGCATTGATAAAGAAAGGTATTGTTAAATTCATTGGTGGAAATCCAAAATTAGAAATCAATGAAAAAGGATTTGTTGTTTCAAGTCAAAACTCAAACAACGAACAAATAACTGCCAAATATTTAGTTGATGCTTGGATGCATAGAACAGATGCAACAAGGCCAAGAGAAGGACTTACAAAGTCCCTCTTGGAAACAGGAATTGCTCGGCTTTATTCACTCAGAAACACAAAAGGAGAAAATGTTCCGACTCCATGTCTCGAAATCGATCCTATGACAAGAAGACTTGTTAACAATGACGGAAAAATCGATCAAAGAGTTCACTTGATTGGAATTCCAACATGGTCTCAAATGCCTGACACAACAATCAGTCCAATGCCAGGAACTGACTCATTGATGCTCCAGGAAACTGATAAAGCTGCTGTTAGCGCTGCTAAAATTGTTGGTGCTTGGTAAGAAAAAAAATTATAAACTATCTTTTTATCTGATTTTACTTCTTCTTTTAAATAAACACGTAATGGCTTTACCTAAGATGTTAATGGAACAAACTTAATTTATTTGCATTCGGGTGTTATCAATAAAAGGAAATTTTTATGGCATCAGTGATTTTAGATTGAGATATTTTAGTAACAAATTTTTTTTTATCTCACATTATTCAAGATGATTTATAATAGTGTGGATTAGGTACGCATTCTGATATTCCGGGAGTCTAAATTCATATGATCAAATGAATATAACTTGGGTGAGATTTCATGCTGCCATAACACGTGATCACACTTTTGAAAATTTTATAAGATATTTCAAATATTTTGGGGTAAATACACCGGCAACCCCTGGAAAATAATTTTTTGAGATAAAATTATGTGAAAACTAAATGTTTGTTACTAATCATCTTTAAGAGTTTTCACAAGCATGTAAATACTGTCCAATTCAGATATATTCATATAGAATATAAATTCATTTTCTTTATCTGACCAAAAATCACCAATTTCATTAAATAACTAATATTTATTACTGTAATATAATAACAAACATATTAAAATAATATTGAAAATAATTAGCAATTGCAATTACTCTTTTTTCTTTGATTTAGTGTAAGACTTATCTGGTCAAATTGATCTCTTTGATGACTGCTGCATAAATCAACCATTGCTAAGAAAGTTTCATCAATATTACTGCCATTAACTGCTGAAGTAATAAGAGATTTAGAAATTTCATGTTCTTGAGCAAATTTTTCGGCAGCTAATAAAATTTCCTTGTCATATACTAAATCAGACTTATTTCCTATTAATAATGCCGGAACTTGCTGAATTCCATTCTTTTGAGCAAGTGATTTGAATTCTCCATACCAAAATTCTAAGCTTTCTAGACTTTTATGATTTGTAAGATCATAAACAAGGATACAACCATCAGATCCTCTATAATAATTCGGCGCTACGGACCTATATCTCTCCGAACCAGATGTATCCCAAATGTTTAATATGTATTTTGTATTGTTATGCGTTAGTTCTTTGGATAAAAACGAAAATCCTAAAGTTGCTGAATATGAGTCATCAAATGTTCCTTCTACAAAACGATTAATAACACTTGTTTTACCTACAAAATACTCTCCTAACACAGTGATTTTTAACTGTGTTGAAGAGTTATCTGAATCAAGTGCCATTTTTTTTAAAAAGTGACATTTGATTGATTTATAAACATTCGTATTTTTACCAACGAACCGACTTTATGGGTCATCGCCATGCAAATTTTTATTCTTTCATTGAACTGCGGTTGTAGGATAGTTTCTTCAACTTTAATCTCATTCAAACCAAGGGGATTAAATAAGTTTGAAGAGGTTTAAATTGGGTTTTGAGGGGGGGTTGTAAATTATATCGTACTCATTTGTGAGAATTGGAGGTTTTTACATTAAAATATTTTTGCCATTCTGTCAAAAATAAAGTAGCTGATAACCAAAATGGCTCAAAGAGATTTTATCCTTTTCGTGTCGATTCTAAAATTTATCATTAGATCGGCACCTGAACCCATCAGCAATTTTTGTACCCGAAAAATTTGGAAACGCTAATTGAAATTAGTTGGAACCAACTTCTCTGATAAACCTAGAATTGAAAAACATTCATACACAGAAAATGAGACGATTTCATCAACTTTTCTCTCATTCATACCAAGCATGAACAAAAACACAAACAGTAAAAATAATAACTTAATGTTAATTCGAAAAACAGTTATTATATCTCTTTTATCTTATTAATAAGGCAGATATAACTAGTTTTATTCTTATTTATTTATATATGGCGAATATCAAAATACTATTGAAAGTTTTGCATTATGTTGTTAGAGAATTGGATATTCTATATTTTGAATATTTTCGTAGTATCAGTATAAAGAATATAAAAAGTAGTGATCAATTATTAATTTTATTCAAAATTAAACTTCTGCGCCAACAGATTTATCATCAGCCTTTTTGCGAAATACAAATATGTATACACAAACGCCAATAACAACAGCGACAATAACAACTGCAACGACAATTCCAACTATGAGGCCAACTTTAGATCCTTTTGATCCGGAGCCACCACTACTTCCAGATTTATCACTTCCGGATAGTCCTTTCTCCGAGCCACCACTACTTCCAGATTCATCACTTCCGGATAGTCCTTTCTCCGAGCCACCACTACTTCCAGATTCATCACTTCCGGATAGTCCTTTCTCCGAGCCACTACCTCCATCTCCATGTCCATTTCCAGATTCATCACTTCCGGATGAAGGGGCTGTAACAGTAACAAACATGTCATTTTCGTCTGCATCTGTTGTGATATCTGGTTCATTACACACATTGTATTTGGACGGCTTAACCTTGCTTGTCGAAATATATTGATTACTTCCTTTATAAGATATTTGATTACTTGAAAAAGAATTCGATAGAAAAGTATAATTTTGTTTGGGTGTTCCTGTGTAAGCATATATAATTGAGTATTGATGATTGGAATTATCCATGATATAAGGTTGTTGTAGTGGATTTGTGATATCTGATGCATCAGTAACAGTAGCTTGTGATGATTCTAATTCCACCATAATCGGACCTTTAACTGTCAGGGTTGCATTGTTACCTTTAATCACAAATTTGCAGACTTTTGTATCTGAGATAGTGAGGTTACTAATATTGGATTTCTGAATTTCATATACACCATATATTTCTGTGCAGCCGATTGTTTGTCCATTGCTTACGTTTATTTGGACATTAGGTTTGGTAGGGTGCATCATATCAGCAAATTGTTTAGATAGATTCTTGGCTAAACCTAAGATAGGAAGTAAAGATATCATTTTGAAATAATGAAGTCAATGATTCAAATTTGTTTCTACTTCAATTCGATTATAATTTCTGAACACTCTTCAAGAAATTCTTAATTTCATTCAATAGTATTTCATATTGTCGAAGTCCATATTTATACATGATTAAGATCACCAATGGGACAAATCCATTTCAAATTCAAATTCTAAAATGTTTCTAACAGAAATATTAATTCTTGTACTAATGGTAGATATAACTTCAATGCTAGGATTGTTAAAAATGCAAAAAATCAAAAATTATTAGTCAAATTAATTTGAACATTTAAAACGTTTTTCTTTGCAACAAGTCTAAATTCATGATTCAATCTGTACTATGAACAAATTTTATCTTGAAATTATAATTAGAATTCAATGTGTTTTTGTGAATTAAATACTTATTGAATCGAGATCTTTTCTTAATTCAATGATAATTTTATAATTAATTATAAATACAATGAAACATATTCGAAATTGAAAAGAATGACTTTTTCTGTTCTTTCAATCATTCAATTTGAATTTTGCAATATTGGATTTCGCATTAAATAGCTATTAAATACAACAAGCAATTTAACTTACATTCAAATTTATTTGTGTTATATTCAATCTTCTCAAAACTTATAATTTTCGGCTATAGCATGATTATATGCTATATAATATAATAAACCTATAATAGTATCATTCTTTCAATTATTTGAAAAGAAAACCGAAAAAATCTATTTTCGGTCTATAACAAATTAATTATAATACCCATCAATTCAAATTTTTGGGTCCCTTTTGCAACGAAATCATAATGCCCAAAGCTCAGAAAAGGTTTGGAGTATATTTCAAATATATATAATTATTACTCACATTTAATATATATAATTATTACTCACATTTAATATATATAATTATTACTCACATTTAATATATATAATTATTACTCACATTTAATATATATAATTATTACTCACAATTTTTGAAAGAATATTCAATTAGTGTAGGGTTGTTAAAAATATCAAAAATTAGCGTTTTGAAGACACCATGGTGTCTTATAATTTTCCCTTCCTTATTGGCGTGTAGAAATAAATGCGCCAATAGATTGAAGAAGAAGAATTGTTTTTCTCTTAATGAACTTTAATCCTTTTGATATAAGAATATTAAAAATATTAATATAATTTCGATTTCGGAAATTAAATTTCCAAATTTTTTGTCGATTTCGGAAATAACAGGATCCCGCATCCAACACGCAACAACAAAACACAAAACACACTTTTTGGTTCTGTCATCGTTTTAATCGTAATTTATGTAATACATGATTTGTATAAATTTTACAATAATAGAACCTATATTATATTCTTTTCAAAGATTTTTGCAAATCATCAAAAATAATTGTATTTTAAAAAACTTAAATTAGTTTTTATGATTGACTAAAGCAATCATATTTATTCATCATTAAATAAACAAAAAAATAATATTTGAGAGTTATTTCAAAAAAAACACATTGAATTTATTAATTTGTCTCAATTTCAGTATTATAAATTTTTATAATTTCAATATTTTGAAATACACTTTTTAATATTTCAATATTTATGATATTTCAATGTATTAAGTGGTCTCAAATTGAGCTTCTCAAATATAAGTTGGCATATTCAAATAATAAAATTAAATAATATTTAAAATAATAAATAAAAGTGATTGAGGTCATAGCTAAACGGCTGTTTCAGTCATTAATTCTTAAAAATAAAAAGGGTAAAAACTAAATAAAATGGGTAAAATTCAATAGTGTCTGTGCTATCGTTCAATTTGAAGGTGTCTTTTGGAACCGCAAGACACATTGAATTTTTGAATAGTGTATTATGGTTTGACAGACACCAATGAAAAAAATAAAATGATATTTATTTTAAATATATAAGATCCTTATATAAAATATAAATATTTTATCGTTTTATTTTCTTGTTTTAGAAATGTTTTTTATTGAACAATCAATAAAACTAACTCCAAAATAAAATTTTTGATTTAAAGACACTATGATGACACCAGGCAAATCTTCCAAGACACCTATCGTCGGGAATCTAACAACCCTATTTTTACAAAATTTTTAATAACCGCTTAAAAAAATTAAAATTTTATTCTTTGGCCTTGACCACTTCACATTTTTGGTATCATTTTATTCATTTGAAATTTTTTTTGGAGTAGCATCAACGCAAGATAGTACGAAATATCGATACCTCAATGAAGCACTAACCACACAGATGCAAAAAACACACGAAAAACAAAAACTTTATCTAATATTAGCAAATCTTTCAACAAATCAAGCATAAATGCGCAATAAGAACATACCAAACGGCTACACATATACAAGATAATATCTAAACAACTCACAAACCATTACTTAAGCGAAGACAGAAAGGAAATTGAAACAGATTACGAAAAGGAAGACCTGAAGAAAGACCGAAACACAAAGAAAGTGATAGAAAAGCAAGTAAAAGACAAGACCAGCTAAAGAAGTACAGAAGAGCGAAAAAGATCGATACGACTGGAAGATTAATTTACTGTTTCTCAGTCTCCAAGCCGAGTTCAAGACTCAGAACAAACACCACAAGTATGTTGATTATGTATTATATCTTCTTATATGGTTGTTTTAGGAATAAAATCCTTTTTTATGCTTTAAATTTAACTTTTTTTATCCTCATTGAATGTCAAAAATTTTTGAATAGTTTACACTTTTTGGCGGGCATACAATTTTTCTTTTATTTCTTGTTAAATAAAATTAGCATCTAATAACAAATTAATTTTTCATTTAATATGGATTTTTTTTGTTCCCCTAGAATTTGACAGCTTACAGAATATGCTTATTTTTATGATATTTAGAATGCTAATTAAATGAACAATCTATATTCCCAATATCAGAGATTTTTTGTTTTTCTCACCTTTCTGACATAGGAAAAGGGTAAATTTTTAGCAAAAAACGATTGACTTTAATAAAAATTTCAAAAACATCATCATTGAGATCATTTTTCATATAAATAATATAACCTGTTTATACGCATTCATTTCCTTAAGTTTAATGAAATTCCAGTAAACGACCACTTATTAAAAAGTGACGATTTGAACAGGTTTGTCTAAGAAGATTGAATATGAATATCGAATATCCAAGCAATGCTACCGATTATGCAGGGCAACAAACCAGTCAGCATTTTCCTTCTCAAACTAAATCAGAAGAGAATGATGATCAGCATAAACCGACAAGCGCCGATTTTCTAGGCTTTAACGTTCATTTTGGTGATCAATTAGAGCCTCAACAAACATCAGGCAGTCGAGCAAGAGCTAAGCGATGGACGCCAGAAGAAGATCAGAAGCTGCGCGATGCAATCACACAACATGGTACAACAAATTGGCAAGCAGTTGCTACAATGGTTGGCAATGGAAGGGCTAGATCACAATGCAGTCAAAGATGGAATCGTGTTCTTAATCCTGAAATCTCAAAGGCCAATTGGTCTAAAGAAGAAGAACAGATACTTATCAAAAGCGTAGAACAATATGGCAATAAAGCATGGACTAGAGTCGCTCAGCAACTTGGAAATAGAACGGATGTACAATGTCGTTTCAAATATAGATATTTAATGAAAAAATTCGATCAAGCTAACGCTCTAGCAGCTCAAGAACAACCGCAACAAATGCCTAAAGAAACAGATACGGTTTGAACCAAAAAATTGCTATATACCTTGTTGATTGTTTTGATGGTAAATTGTCATCATTTAATGCATATATATCGAATTAAATGAATTCAATTTTCATAAGCCTGATTACTTTAAAGTTACTTTTAGTGGAATTTTTATTAATATTTTTTTGTAAGTGACCTAAGCGATAATAACTAATTGATAATTCGGATATGTTTGATGAATATAGCATTTTCTCGAAAATATGAAGTATATTAATATTTTTATAACTGTAATAGCAGGATTTTCATGGCAGTGGCTATACTACTACACCACACTTTAGTTATTTTCCGAAGCTTGGCTATTAATGCACTATAAAATTAATAAGTTTCAAATTTTCGAGTTATTTGTGGAAAGAATTAGCTTAAAACTGATCCCACTGTCTTGATCCTAGACCACAAACGGTTGATGTATCTTAAATCCCCAATTTTTTGTGTGGGGTTGTAAGATGCACAAAAGAGTAGCCATAAGATAATGTAAACTTGTAAATTCTACAACAATTTATAACGAAGTTTCAAAATCATTCTTTTAAACTCATTATCTTAATCCAAGCAATTTCCAAACAAATTTTTTTGTTGCTTTTTTACGCGGATAAAGTCATTCTTACTGAGTTTTCTGAACATGAAATATTTCACATGGCTATTACAAGCCAGATTATACTTGTTTATACTATTCTTTAATATAAACGAATCATTGTCAATAATATTCAAGAAAATTCATGCAAAAAATGTCATTATTTGGTTAATTAAGTAACCTTCCAAAGATGTAGGAAATCCTTCATTATTACTATTTATAATTCTCATAGTTTTCAATAATTGCTTGAATTTGAATTTAATTTAGCAAATGATAGCTTCTCATGCTAAGCAAATCTTAGAGTATAGGAGTCAGTGAATATTGTATATTGCTAGTATTATTATATTTCTCATATTAATTTTGAAACAAATATTATCTCTGAATATTCTACGTATCAGTCAATAAATATAGTCTACTAATGCTACAAATTAAAATTCCCACAAGCATTAGTCTCCAGCCACAGATTCAATGAGAGCGAATAATTTTCCTTACTATTACAATTCTATCTATTCTTGTGGAAATACGACATAATTCGTTCTATTTTCTAATGAAATTATGAAATTTAATAAATTTTCAATTTGCGAATTTTTAATGGATTCATGCATTCATCCCAGACCAATCGATTTTGTTTTCAATAAGTATCCATATCAATAATTTATTATCCATTTGAAGATTTCGCTTCATTTTCCATTTGGTGCAAAAGGTGACCAAACTATTTTTTGAAAGTTCGTCATATCTTTAATGGTACTATTTCAGCGTGTACAATGAATACAAAAATTCTAAGAGTGCCACATAAAATAGTACTTTAGACTTGAGTTAATGCTACCAAGCAAATGTTAAAAAGATGACTTTAGTGTTTTGATAATCAAAGATTAAAATCATTATTGTCTAAATCAATAATCATAACGACAGAAGTTAATGTTTTTTCATTAGTGCTTTAAATCCACTTTTAAAAGTATACCTCAAAAATCAAAATATCAAAAAAAAATTGGCCGATAGGTTTGGCTTTAATTTTTGTCTGCTTTTATGATTTGATATGGATGTTATAATTTTAAAAGTTGAGCCAAATTCACCAATAGATTTTTGAGATTTGCAAATACTCAATAATTTTCAGCGTGTTATCTTTTATTAAAAGAACTATTTGGTTTCAGTATCATATAAATTGATATTTACTTTCTATTTGAACCTTCATTTAGCTAATGATTTAGTAATACAGATTTCATCTAATCCTTATAAGAGAATTTTGAATTTGTTATAATAAAAAAACAAACAGATATAGCTTACACTTCTATAATAAAGATACCTTTTATAGAAATCAGTATGAAATGTGTTTTTTGACACGTAAAGCTCTCAATTCATTATAACATGTTTGTCGATTTTTATATATTTTTCGCTTTCATTATCTATGATATTAAAAATTATGTCATCAGAATGTGAAATAATTAAACAAATGCCCTGCGGGAAGTATTTTATACTAGAATTTATAAAAAAAATCACTGTACGTTTAGCCTACTGGTTATGTCGTGGGGTTCAAAGGCAATATGTTCAAATCAGTAAGCACCCAGTTTTTTTTAACAAGGTGAATATAACTTTTGATCGAAATCAATGAGTTACATGAATTATCATTTATCTAACTACAATTAAATTGTGAAAATATACTATCCAATATTAGCGTTTAATAAAATCAAAGATTATTGACTTATATTTTGAAAGTAATCTAAGCAGAATTTAGATATCCAAATTCTAAATATCTTCATGCTTAGATGCTAGATAATATATTCTTATTTGAAAAATTTATAATGTTATTATTTTCTTATTTGATATTTACTACAAGCAGAAAAGCATTTATATTGTAAATTAACAGATTATGATAATTATACTCGTTTTTATATGTTCTTAATGAAGAATATCAAACGTATTTCTATGAGTTTTAAAAAATGAAAAGTTTTAATATGGCTAATATATTTATTATCATTAATAGAATAAAAAAGTTTTTTTCGCATATCACTCGATGATTTACCTTCGAGTTTTGATAAATTTCGAAAAAATTTAAGGAATGCTCTTTGAATTTCTTTACCTATAAGCATATTATCTGCCGTATTATTTTTCGCTAATTGTAGAATTTTATTTAATTTTAATAATTAACCTTCTAAGCTTATTGAGAGATCACATTGTATATTTGATACGTAGTACATATGCTAAATCTGTGAATTAGATTGTAAGATATTGAACAAACGTTCTTAAACATTTTAGATTTTAGGGAATTACTGAATTAAACTATATTTCTTATATGATATCTTCATGTTTGGATGCTTTGGGTATAATTTATTGGGCTTTTTCTATCCAAATGTTTGGCAATGGTAACCCAATTTCTAACAAATTTATGATGGAAAAATTTATGACTTTTATGGAGCCGAAAAAAAAGCATAGAATGAATAAGACCATTAAAGATAAGCTGTAATTTGATTGTGAATTTTAAGAAAAGAATTTGGATTAAAATTTGAAATTCTTTTTTTTGAAAATTAGCCGATGATATGCTTAAGCTAAAAATTACTAGAAGCGGTGTGATATAATTTATATAAAAACAAAATACAGCTTGATTTATATAGTAATTTATGCTTTACATGTATTTTATATAAATTTTTATTGAATTCAAATATTCAATAGTTTTTTTATGCTAGATTAGTTGTATTATTTAAATATATTATATTGGCAACCTTTCTTTACCCTGTCCTAATAAACGCATTTTGTAAAAAATATAGTGCATCAGTTTCGAACCAGCGTCCCCGGTACCCAATAGTAAGGGGTAATAACCATTCGACCATTTGCCACGTAAAGCATCGCCAAATTTTTTTGTATTTAATCACTCCCAAAACACTGTTTTGGCTTATTGGAAGCATATCAGACATAATCGCCATAATCAAAAAATCTATATACCCAATAACTAATAAATTTGTCGATATAGATTTTCCATAAAATTAGTTTTTAGTCTGATCTTAAAATAAATTTAATTTTTTATAAAAAAAAATCACATTTAAAAGTACCTTTTTAGTAGCTCGAAATCCTGTTGGTGGATTTCGGGCGTACTTCAAAATTAGCTTTTCTTCTACATATGCAAGCTATATTTTAAATATGGGGCAAATCGGATCGGCGAAAGGAGTTTAGTTACCTTTTTTGGTGCATTATTGTTCAATGTTTGGGAACTAGTTAAAAAGGCATAATTTATTGAGATATTATACCGATTATGAAATGCTTTACCAAAACTTGAATTCCAATATCGAAATTGCAATTCATATTCAATTGAAAAATGGATAAAAACTCAAAATTACAAAATTGCAGTACTATAGCATATATTCAAAATTAAATGAATAATGAAGTGATGCTAATCGTCCACGCTCTTAAAATGTGAAAGATAAAAATTATTAAGAATTGTTTTATATCTATCTATTAAAGAAAATAATTTGGTGTTTTTTATAAAGTAACATCAAAATCTCGATATCTCAATTTTTCAATTTCAGTACAAATTCAATTTTGTTTCTTTTTATCTCCTATTAAATATTATCACAGATCTGAAAGATGCTATCATAATTTGAATGTAGCTCAATTTTGTATATCTCTTCAATTTTTTTATCCCCTCAATCCAATCCTACATGAAAAATGCAAGTAATTTGGAATAATAAAAAAAGACACCAAAGTGAAAAGAAAACGATGAAATTTTAGAACTTTACAAATTAAAAATATTTTCATGATCACATCCGACCATATCCAAACTAAAGTGACTACGGTAAGTAAAAAAATGAAATGGACTGCAGAGGAGGATGAAATCCTGAAGTCCAGAATAGAGAAGTTTGGAACGGGAAATTGGTCATTGATCGCCCAAGAATTACAAGGCCGAACTGGTAAACAGTGTCGCGAGAGGTGGACTAATCAATTGAATCCTAATCTCAATCGCGATAACTGGTCTTCGAATGAAGATCGCATTTTACTCCACCAACAACAGATCTTTGGTAATTCATGGTCGAAAATATCAAAATATCTGCCAGGTAGGAGTTCTAACTCAATAAAGAATAGATGGAGCTGGCTTTCACGTCATAGAGCTTTACCACAAAAGAATAACGCTCCAGCAATAAAAATTCAGCCACAGATTCAACAGCAAAAGCCTTTGACAATGAATTTCGATCCTTCCACTTCTGAGTGTCTCGGATCCATCTCGTTTATGATGCTTGATCTTCCTGATGTTGAATTCAGTTCTGATTTCAATCTTCAGGATTTCCCAGCTATTGATACATCAGACAAAGGACTTTCCCTTTGGGATGTTCTCTAAATAATTAGTTTATCTTTCTTTCAATCGCTTCGTTCTTTTTAATTTTTAATTTGACACAGTCTCGTCGCCCAAAATTTATTCACATCAATCGAAAATGGCTTAATCACTATTTACAAATCAGGCTCCTCTTTTCATTCTCTTTTTTACTGCATTATCAAATATTCTATATTAAAAATGGTACAGTTTATTTGAGTAATAGAATGTGGCACTTAAAATCTGGAAAAGCGTAAAGAAGTTCCGTGCTTTTCTCGAAATTCCAACCATACGAAGATCAAAATATTATTAAGAGGGAAAAGAATAGAGAATTCATGTAGAATAGAAACTACAACTCGATAGAAATTCCTGGATAAAGAGAATGGAGATTAATTCCGTTGTAAAAACAAACGTGAATAAATATTCCTGAAAAAAATGTATATTTAATTTAGTCAAAGCAATACAGTGGCGCAGAATATTAGTCTCTCAGTCCAGGATTAGAACGCACGCTCTAATTTACGGATATTGGCGTGAATCTTAGGGAATTTTGCAGTTTTGTAAATAAACTTTACAAATGTAAATTGGTTTTGTAAACACTTTACATGCTATATTCATTGTTTGAAAATCGGGTAAAATAATGCAAATTTTTGTGCCATAAATGATTTATATAAAAGTATGCTATAGCCTCGAATGTGTTACCAAATTTCGTGCATCAAATTACGATTTTTTCATAAAAATCTATGAAATCATTAGATTGAAGTCAATTATTTAAAAATAAATAAAATATATAATGCCTTGGTTCAGATAAAGTATATCTGAAAATCTAAAACTTGGTTGTTTGTCCCCTTTGAAAGAAGAGGCAAAAAGTGACTCACAGAAAATGGAAAATCAAATGAACGGCATATAAATTTTCTATAAAGTATGTCTGTTTGCACGTTTATTTGTAATTTCTATAAATTTTGCTGGTTTCAAGATTTATATGTGCATTCAATTTTTTTTTGAATAGATCATTTAAATATTAAACTATTTCGATTTTACCTGATCTAAATGATTCCCCGATATATCTTGATATTTGTGTTCAAACCAGAACAAATCTGATCTTTTATTGATCTGAACGACTTTGTTGTTATAGACCGAAAATAGATTTTTTCGGTTTTCTCTTCAAATAATTGAAAGAATGATACTATTATAGGTTTATTATATTATATAGCATATAATCATGCTATAGCCGAAAATTATAAGTTTTTAGAAGATTGAATATAACACAAATAAATTTGAATGTAAGTTAAATTGCTTGTTGTTTTTAATAGCTATTCAATGAGAAATCCAATATTGCAAAATTCAAATTGAATGATTGAAAGAACAGAAAAAGTCATTCTTTTCAATTTCGAATATGTTTCATTGTATTTATAATTATATGGCAAATAAGATATTTAAACTTGATTTTTGAAGGAAAATTCACAAAATTGAATAAATTCAAATAATTTTTATTCAAAAATAAACTAGTTATTTGAGTTTAATACTAATTATCTATTCAAACTACAAAGTTTGTAATTTAAAATATTTTGTGAGATCAGATTGAATTAATTCAAGGTTCTTTTCAAATTAATATTAATGACATATTACGCATTTTCGACATTCTTAAACCAAATATATAAAAATGGGAGACGAATGTTAAATTTGCTAAGACATGGGGGAGTTGTCTGCAAAGTTTTAACTCTTATCTCTAACAAAAATTAATTTTTAAAAATGACCGAATACGTTTCACAGCGAGAGAAAAAATAAAAGGCAAGATAGAATTTTCTAGACATAAAGAAGTTGTTTACCGAGTTTTAGCTCTTATCTCTAACAAAAAATTAATTTTTTAAAAAAAATGACCGAAATACGTTTCACAGCGAGAAAAAAATAAAACTGTACACTGATTTTTAATTTTCATTTCCAGTCACTTTACTTATTATTTTTTCTTTTTTTCATTTTAATTATAAATTATTTCATAATACGTTTATTTACGTTACCATTTTCTTTATTCTTTTGAATTCCATACTAGACACTTATAGAATATTTTGATTGTTAACGTACTTCATTAGAATGAATCCTTACAAAGGGTATGTCGATCGAATTTAGTTAGTATACAAGTCTTGGGTATGGTGGCACTGCGTTCCACCTTACCCAATACTTGTGAATTTGACACTTTACAAAACCGCTAACGTATATTTTACAACACAAACACGAAACACTAACTTAACCTTAAATATTTACAAAGCCGCCAACCACTTCACTTCACTAACGAACTCACTAATGTAAAAATAAACGTTCTCACTATCGTTCTCACTAACAACTTCACTAATGTTCTCATAAATTTTCCTCAATATCTTCATCATCAGTGTTAACCCTATTGTAGTCATACTTGAAGCCATAAACTTTCTCTAACTTCTTAACGTACAATTTACATAACTTACCTTCGTCATCGTATGGTTTAATGATATAACTATTTCTATCTTTATACACAGTCAATGAAAAGTCAACTGGTCTAGGATGTATTTGAAAGAACATGTTATGCTCAGGAAGGAAGAATAAATGTTTAAATGTATGTTTGTTATATGTTTTGATTTGTATGAGTTGCTTTTGTTCTGTCATTACATCCAAATAAAATAAAAATAATTTTAAAAAATAAAATAAAAAATAAATGATATCACCACCCTCACACGTATGAAAACATAGCACAAAAATAAATTTAGGTGAAGTGGTGAGATCTCACCTCTTTTTTCACCTGTTTTTTTCACCCTGTTGAATTCATTGCTTTATAACTCTCTTCCTTGGTTTCTTTTTAGTTGCTTTCTTCACGTCTGTCTCCAACTTGACTGTCTTTCTTCTTCGTCCATAATGATACCATTACTTCCACCAGTCAATGGGTCAAATGGTCGTTCATAAGGGTTTCCATACATTCCATAAGGTCCGTATGGATAAACCGCTGGTGGAGAAGAAACATTTTCTTTAGTTCCATCGACTCTATTTAAATGCATTGTTTCACCTTTCATCTGGTCATTAAAGTCTTTTGCGTGTTTTGCAAACTCATCGTCCTTTCCTAAAGCATTTTCTGACTCAGTCGCAACCAAATTGGATGCTTTATTTATGAGCCCTATTTTATTTAATCTTAACTTCTTTGCAACCCAGCCTCCAATCTTTCCTTTATTTGCATCTAATGTCTTCGAAACCCTTCCTCCACTCATTTTATTTACTGCGTCATAAGCTCCAAGTGCTTTTGCTCCAAATGCTAATGCTTTTGTTCCCATTGCGCCTAAAGCTGCCCAAGCTACCATTTACACCATATTAAAATCATCTCTCTTCAATATTATCTCATAAAAGTTCTCGTTACTGGAGAAAGTCAATGAAACATAAGCGTTCTCACGGGCTTCGCCCTCACCGCTTTGCGGTCTATCTAACTTCTTTCTATATCTCATCTATTCGCTTCAAAATGTCTGAACAATTGCTAACATCTTCTACAACAGTTATTTCATCATGAATGACCTTCAAGAACAAGCTCATTTAATATGCAATTAAAATCATCTCAATAATGAGTCCATCCTTTCCGTCTTTGGGTAGCACAACATCTTTCATTGAAGAAGGTTCGACAAGTCTTATGTTAAACTTACTGACAAAGTTTGTTATACTATAATGCTTCGGTGGCGAATACATGTAGTTTGAAAGACATAATATAGATTCTTCAGCAAATTCACTTATACTGGATTTTATAACAATGTTCTCACGAGACCAAACGCCACCAATTGACAATCTTGTAAGCAATCCTGCTGAGCCTTCTACTGTAAATGTCGATGGTAACATTCCACGAAGGTCATCTATTGACATCTTTGAGTCACTGAATTTAAATATTTTCTTAAAGCAATCGTCATTATCTAACCATGCAATAGCTTTGAAGTTTTCATTCGAATATACATCTGCTTCATTAAATGTAAAACCTGACTTCTTTGCAGAGAGACTTTAAAATCTATTGCATTTGTTTCAAAATTATATGCTATGGTAACTTCTGAAGGTAATGGGTGTCCTTCTGCATCAGTTGTTCTTCATACCGTTTGAAGCTTTGTGTTAAAAACTTTCATGTCATCTCCTGTATCTAAGTTCACATACACAGCAACAGGAAACTATCTTGCTTCTTTGTTTCATCATTATATCTCAAAACATTAAAGTTCTTCAATAATATTGTTCTTCCTGCTGGAATACTTCGAACCTGTCTGATTTCAATAGCTTTCTCACCTCCTACATACTCTACCCAGTGTCTTGGATATTCATAAGTATACTGACTTTCTTGAATTTTGGTAGGTTTCATCATAACATGTTCATAGTATATCTTTATACTCTTGTCAGTTAGACTCGGTGCTATGTTCTGAATATTTCTGACTTGCATTTTTAATGGAGATAAAATGAAGCATTTAATACATGACGTAGATGAAGACATGAATGAAACTACAGACAAACTTAACTCTTCTCTCATTCTTCCTTTCAGTAAGGACTATGAGTTCTGTTCAAATGGTTTTATTTCTATTGTGGAAAGATGGGGTCAGGAAAGACATTCAACCTCATTCGTCATATACTCATAACAGAACGTTTAGGAAATGACTCATATTATGACCAAATCATTATATCAGCAACTTCAGACTCTATGGATTCAACAGCGAAAACATTCATGAGTAAAGTTCAAGCATCTGTCGTTAAAGTTCCAGATAGCGAACTCATTGAATTTCTTCAACGTTACATTCGACGTAAGAGAAAATATTATGCTATTGTAGAGTTCATACAGTCAGGAATGCAAAAGACTTCAGAAGAGATGGAAAGAATTATTGACAAACACCACTTACGTCAGTACTCAGGAGTTTACGATATGAAACGACTGACAAACTACATTCTATCAAAACTTTCAAAAACCCCTTCAAAAAGTATCCTTCAAACACTCTGCTCGTTTGTGACGACTTCGCCGGAAAAGGTTTAGTGTCAAAGCCTGACTCACCATTAGCTAACATCATAACTAAAGTCAGACATTACCATTTAACTGTAGCAATACTTATGCAAACATGGCGTTTCCTTGCTTTAAACATAAAACGTCTCATAACTGACTTCGTTATCTTTCAAGGTTTCTCACGTTATGATATTGAACTCATTTGGAAACAGTCAGGTATAACATTACCTTTTGAAGAAATTTGGGAAGCATATAAGTCTCTCATCTCTCCTCGTTCATACCTTGAGATTCATATCATGACTAATACCATTAAAGTCAAAAATATTCCATGGGAACGACCAACATTGTTTTAAATCTTATGCTTTAATTGACTGATGGTAAACAAATTCCATGCATCTCTGTCGCCATTTCTGTTAATATTTTTGCTGTCATTCATATCATCCACTTCCCCATCCGTTAGCTTTTGAGGATATGGGTTAGAATAGCTGTTCTTAAATGAAGGCTTTTCACCTTTGAGAGCATAAACTCTATAACTTTCTGCATACTTTATGTTTGAACCTCCTGAGCCATCATTGACATAAATTTTTATAGGCTTCCACCCTTTGTTCATATTCCTGCTTCTTCCCTTTGCTCTTTTGTTCAGTAGTTCTACATCTTTATACACAGCTCCTGTCTCAGTGAATTCAACAATATTTTCATTCGTTAGCTTTACATTCAAACCCTTGTCGAGTATATTGTTCATTTCATACATATAAAAGGTTTTTATTCTATATGAAATGAGAAGCAAATCCATCTTAGCTGGTGCCGTTAATGTTCCAATTGAACCAACATCAAATGTTGACTCACGAACGACAAACAATATTGTCATAAAGAACTATAGTTCAGAGTGTTTGAAAGAACCAGAACCAGAACTGAAATCCGTGAATTTAAACTCAGCTTCAAACGCTAACGCTACATCAGATGTTAAGTTAGAGTATCCACCACTGGACCAAATTCTTTCAAGAGAAGCCAACGACAACCCTTACATAAATGTTCAAACAAATCCTTCAGATAACGTAGACCATTACCTTCTTCAGTTATACCAAACAATTTTACTCAAAGACGATAAGAAGCTTTTGATAAATCTTATAAGTAAGAACCAAATAATTCTAACAAAGGAGGACCTTGAAAATGTTATATCACGAATAACAGGAAAGCAATGTGTCATTGACTATCTCGACCCTGAAATCGAATGCTGTGGTCAAACTCCAATATTCATGAAAATAGGTAACATCCGCATCATTGAAACACCAGGAACTACAGGAGTTGAGTTTAAGTATAAATATTCGAACGAGTATACAAAACTTTCAACAGAATATAAACTTTGCTTGAAATATGTTTTAGTAAATTAAAGCAGTCAGGAGGGCTCTTTGAGCCCATCTTGGCGCTTTGCGCCGTCAGTCAAAAAAATTTCAAGTTAGCAATTTGTAATATCTATCCAAAACTTCTTCAACAGTATCGAACTCATCTTCATAATGCAAACCTAATCTTATTGACTTGGTGCAGTTTTCACTAACACAATATTTTTCTGTTCTCTTGACTGACATAACTAATTCATTTGTTTCATCAAACAGCAACAACCAAAGTTCATGACCTAATACATAACATTCATACTTTATATTTTTAGCTCTGAGTTCTCTTGTAAGCTGTTGCATTTAATATTTTCTAAAAAGTCAACTTCAACAGTCATTCGCACTGGTGCCTTCAGTTCTACAGGCTCTCCTTGAAAGTCAACAAGTCTGAATTGCATGTCTTTCAAATTATGAGGACTAATGCGAACCCATTTACCTAAATGAGTTGCTATGACAGGAACGTTTGGAATGAACATTGAATTGACTGCATAACAGAAAGACTTATATTCTACTGAACCTTTACTATTAACTCCTGAAATGCCTGTGACATTAGCTATTTTAGACTCAATGTATAAACAATTACCATAACATACGTATGGAACAGATTTCATCTCAATCGTTTTGTCAACACTTTTCAAAGGAAATGTCATATGGTATGCACCCAAAAGAAGTTGTACTCTATGACTCATTCTTGGTATCTTAAACTCTTTCGCATAACTGAACTTCAAAACTCCTGCAATAAGTTTAACATTCATTAAGTTTTCTCCGTTATCCTTGTTTATTGTAGTACTTATGAGAGCATTTAACACTCCAGCTAATGTTTCCATCTTATATTCTACATTATTGTGAAATCTTATTTCGTGCTTCTTTCCATCTATTTCAATCTCCATGAAATCTGTTTCATCTGTTATAACGAATGAAGCGATAGTATTGAAGTCAACCATTCTGAATGCAAGCGCTTCATTCTGTAGACCTAAGTTTGTTTATAGCTTTACTGTCTCGTATTCGTTTGGGTCTGTACTTTGCAAATAGAACAACATTTTATTCTCATTAAAATATGAGTATAGCTGCATATGCGTATGAAGCTGACAGAGCTAAACGTTTATATTTTGGTCAATACTCTCTCACACTTACTGACAAATATATTGTTATCAGTGATGGAAATACCGAGAAATACATAACATGGAAGGACTATGAAAAGTTTGACCCTATTTTAACTCCATGCACTATGCCATTCATTGTAAATGGTGAAGTTGTCATGAAGAACGACACAACAGTATATAAGTCTGTTCATGAAGCGTTAGAATATATGTTGAATCATAACCCAAAAAGATTCGATCCAAGCACTACACCATGTGCAATGCCTTTTATTAAGGACGGTGAAATCGTAAGAGTTCCGGATTCAACGGTTTACACAGCTGTTCAAAACAGTTTACAAAACATTTTAGCGAATATCTTTAATTCAGAAACTACAGAAATAAAATTACCATATATAACAGATGCTAAAGAAATTAAATCAAAAACGACAACATTATTTACGTCACTTAATGATTTAATGACTTATATCATTAATATTCCTGCACCAACTACAGCATTTGATCCAAACTCGACGGTTTGCAGTGTACCTTTCATAAATGACAGTTCAGTAATTACTTTAAGGGATTCGACAGTAAATGAATCATTAAAGGCGTCATTAATGAAAATCATTGATTTTAATTCATTCACGAATACATATAATTCATTCATTAATGTTTCATATGCTTCTAAAGAAGGTGAGCCAAAAACTATTGATAAAGCGGTGTATGAAATAAAAGCATCAACGACGAAATTGAATTCGTTAACTTTTGACGGTGATAGTTTCGTTAATGACATAACATCGGGGAAAACAATTTTAACGAAAGAATATTTAAAATCTCATGTTAGTGAGTTCGTTGAAATTGAAAAAGAAGGTGGAATTAAGTTCGATCCACTGAATTTCATTTTCAGCTTAGCGAATGCGGGTGTTAGTTTCGCTGAATGGACAACTATACAGAGTGAAATAAATGCAATATGGACGTTTTTGGGGTCAAAAGCGGGAATGGGTGAGCTTGTAAATGCTGCAAGAACATTAGGTGAAACAGGAAATTTTGTAGATGGTTTTAAAAGACTTGTTTCAAATGTTTTAACAAACACAAAGAAATTATTTAGATATACCGTACATAACGGACGGATTTTCGAACAGATAGCAACAAACCCTCCGGTTATGGCTGCGTTGATGATGGTTAGAGATATAAAACCACGTAACGACGGGAACGAAGAACATGAACAACAGGATACTGGTCGGGTTATTCGAGACATTAAAAACGTGTATCCTGAAGTTATTGATTTATTTAGAGGAGTTAATGATTCAATTTCAAAACATTCTATAACCCTCGATGAAGAGAATAAATTAACAGATTATATATTCGTCATTATTGCAGAATTAATGAAGAGAATAAATGAAAAAGGAATTGGTGATATCATTAATGTCAGCGATGTAATGATGAAAAGAAATTTTGACTCATTATTTACAAAACCGAAAACAGAATATAGTCTTTATGACGTAATTACCGAATTAATGAAAAAGATTAATGATAATAAGAGTTCTGGCGGAAGAGTTGAATTAGAAGTGAATGATGTTAATGAGAAATTAGCCGAAAAAGCAAACAAAAATGAACTTTTAGCTCTGAGTGATAAAGTCAAGAACCACGTTCATTATATAACTTCAGACGAACAGATTATAACGGACTACCATGGATATTTAACACGAAGTGATGAAGCGAAGACAAAAAATGTTAATGAAAGAAGATATAAATACATTCGTGCTAAAGGTTATGACATAAGCTGTACTGTACAGTATGATGTAGCTAAAGCACCAGAAGCATTTGGTTATACCGGTGAAATTTATGCCTCTACTTTCAATGTTAACGGTGTATTAGTTGAACCAAGATTTACTTTGAGAGTTAAGTCAAAAATAACGTTTGAAGATGCTATTAAAAGTAAAGCTGACAAAGTTGAACTCGAAGCAATGAACAAAGTTTTGAAATCTCATAAACACAACATCTCCGATATAAATGAACTTCAAGCTACATTAGACAGTAAAGCTGACAAGAACCATACAAACGAATCCTTCACTACTGTTAGAGCAGACGATGTAATATTGAACTATACTCTCGGTTCAAGTGCACCTTTAGAGAATCCGAGTACAAGCGTAAAAGATACACTAAACTCCTTAAATAACAAATGTATGAATATCGAAGGTCATGTCAGAAACTTTGAAACACATGAACTACCAGCAATGTTAGATAAAAAAGCAGATAAAGAACATACACATAAATCCTTCACTACTGTTAGAGCAGACGACATAATATTGAACTTTGACCTTGGTTCAAGTGCACCATTAGAAAATCCAAGTACAAGCGTAAAAGATACTCTTAACAATTTAGATAAGAGTTGCAGGAATATCGAAGATCATGCCAGAAACTTTGAAGCATATGAACTACCAGCAATGTTAGATAAGAAAGCAGACAAAACAGAGCTTCAAACATTAAAGACAGAAATACTTCAAACATTATATCCTATAGGTTCTATTTATACGTCAATGAACTCAACAAATCCAGCAACAGTTCTGGGTTTCGGTACGTGGGAACAGATTGTAGATAAATTCTTATACTGTGCTAGATATTCAAAGCAAACAGGAGGTTCGAAGAAAATTACTGAAGCAAACCTTCCACCGCACACTCATACAGGAACTACAAACTTTTCTGGCGACCATAGCCACTCATTAAGAGACCACCCATTATACAACTCAGAGTATGAAGCTGGCAATGACGTTTTATCTCCATCTTATAACAATGCAGCAAAAAAGACTTTTCGACCAACTGAACCAGGAGGAAATCATTCACACACTTTCACAACAAATCCAACAGGCTCGGGTGCAGATTATATGCCACCATTTGTGACTGTATTCGCATGGTATAGAGTTCAATGAACGCGCTTGAGCCTAGAATAAAATCTTTAACTTTACATAAATGAGCTTGAAAGAAGTATTCGAACAACATCCATGGAGGTCATTTAAGAAGTTCAATGAAGCTGCAAAGAGTTGGGGATTTACTAACAGAGCTGAAGTTAAAAAGTTCTTTGACAAAAATGTTGTACATCAAACAAAAATAAACCCTTACGACTACTTTTTACCAATTTACTCCAACACTCCCGACGCATACCAATTTGACACTCTCATTCAAAGCAGAAAAGGAGGACATAAACCATTCCTCATCTTCATTAATGTTAACACTCGTAAAGCATATGCATATCCAATAAGGAATAAAGGAACTCGTGAAGTGTTAAGAGTTTTACAAAAGTTTGTAGCAGAACATAGCCCAAGTACTTTAACATCAGACCAAGACAGTGCATACCTCAGCAATGAAATCACAGATTTTCTCATTAAGCATAACATAACTCACTACACTACTGAAGACCATAACCATAACATACTCGGCATCATTAACCGCTTCATAAGAACGCTCAGAGATTTAAACCAAGAGCGAGACTTTACCGAAGAAACAATGAAACATTTTCTCGAAGTATATAATTCCTCAACAAATTCTACAACAGGACATACACCAAATTCAATGACACAACAACAAGAAGAAAAGTATATACAAAAGAAACGAAGCCAAACACAAAATATCAGAAATTCAACACAATTTACCCTCATTCCTGGTACAAAAGTTCGTGTAGTTCTTGACGACAAACCGTTGACAAAGAAACGTTTAAGGTTAAGTCGAAATTATTATATCGTAGACTCTACGCAAGGTAATGGATATCTTATAAAAGCTGCTGACGACTCTATTGCGTTTTACCCTCGACATAAATTAGTCGAAAGTAGTAATGGCAAACTTGCTGAAACCATTGACGAAGCAAAGCGAGGAGTGGTTATTGAAATACTTGGCTATAACATAAACGATGACACTTATAAAGTAAGATATGAAGGAGGCGTTGAAGATGTTATACCATCTAAGAACTTGAGAGAGTCGAAGCCAACACATCTGGGACCATTAGAGCGGGAGTACTGGAAAGATAAAAATAAGCCAGAAAGAATAAGAAAATTCTTCTAAACTTTTTCATTAGATGTAAATCAGACATGAATGAGAACAGTCATGATATCATTAATGGTACCATTTATTTTAACATAAACTTTATTTATGTTAGAATGTTAGATCTAACACGTTTTCTAACCACTTTTCTAACCTCATTTCTACCCTCATGAATTTCCTTAAGACAGAAAAAATAACGTTAGTTTTATTTTTTTTCTAACTTTTTATCTTGTAGGTAAGAACAGAAATGTCAGTCGAAGCAAAAACATTCACGAACAAATCTAATGGTGAAACATTCACAAAAGGCACTTATAATGGTATTGAAGTCTTACGTAGAGACAAGGATGGTTATATAAATGCAACAAAGATGGCAAGAGAAGCAGGAAAGTTAAACCATTTAAACAGATTTCTCAATAGTGTTAAAATGCAGGAAATTCTTGAGTTTTGGATGAACGAATACGGTGGAGCCAAAAGTGGCTCGACCTCAAAACAAGCATTTTATGAGCTTACAAAGGGTGTTATAAATGAATTCAAAGGTATTTACATACATCCTGACCTCGTTCATTTTGTTGCTGAATGGTGCTCTGTAAAGTATGCATTTTATGTCAAAGATATTATGGACTCCATAGACAAAAAAGTTCATGAGAAGTTAGATGAAGAAGAACTCGAAGATATAGTAGAGAATGCTAAACCTTTGTTCGAACAAGAAGTTAGAAAAATGTGCAAAAAACAATTAGAACATGAACGTGAGATATGTTATGGTTATAGAGATTCTTCATACGAACTAGACCAATGGGAACAAGAAGATTTAAAGAGAGAATTTAGAGAATATGAACTCGCTAAGATAGCATTAGAAACTGCAGAAAAGAAGTTAAAAGCTTGGGGTCGTTTTGTACAAAATATTGTGAGTAAATGAACCATTTATTTTTGTCATAAACGACCAAAAATATATTTTATCGTTAATGTTTTTAGGTTATTCAATAATTAATTATTTTTGAAGAACTGAAGGTGTCACCATGTCACCATGTCACCAGGTCATTTAACTTCTCTGAAAAAATGAGACAACATGACATTTTGACAACACAGGAGGATGGCAGTTATGAATTATTTTTGAAGAACTGAAGGTGTCACCATGTCACCATGTCACCAGGTCATTTAACTTCTCTGAAAAAATGAGACAACATGACATTTTGACAACACAGGAGGATGGCAGTTATGATGCAGTCCAAAAATAAAGTTAGTTTTAAAATTATTTTTATTTTTTTATTCCTATATAAATGACGGCAACAAACAACAACAGCAACTATATCGTTTCTGATGAAAAAGTTATTGATTCATTAGTTGAGGAATTAGTTGTGGCAGAAACTAAAACCCTCAACGAAAGAATTGGTGAAAACAAGATTGATTTACATAACTACCTCAAACATGATGGAGGAAGAGGAAGGAAAACTGGTATGGCTTTATTAGTAAATAAAATTTCAAATTTAACGATTATAGATGTTGATATCAATAAATCGTACAATGATGAACTTAAAGAAACAGTTAGAAAAGACATTTTATCAAAACTTTCGGATAAAGATGTTATCGTTAAAACCGCTTCAGGAGGTCTTCACATTTATTGCAACACTAATTTCTTCTATGCAGTTTCGAACAGAATGATTAAATGTTATTCCTGCAATGATTATGATATTGATATAATGACTTCTATGGATGATTCAAAGCGTTCATTAGTGGTTATGGCTGATTCAAGAGTTCGCAAGAATGCAACAGAACCAATCAATACATACTCATTCATTCGCGGAAGTTACGATTCAACATTAACCAGAACAGTGAATGATATATTAAATGATTTGAATATTAAGGTAAGAGTTGAACAGAAGAATGAAGAAATAAAGACTATCATGAATGAAAACAAAGATGTAAACATTGACGATAAACTTGCCCAGAGCATAGTTGATGGCATCTGTGATTTTGAAGTACATAATGACGGTGGAAACATGAATTTAGAAAAAGAAGTTACATTATTCACACTGTTTCAAGCAATTAATTCGTTACCTAATCATTTAATTAATGAAGCATACGATAACGTTTATAACTTCTGCAGTTTAACAGAAAATGCAAAAAGTAATTTTGAAAAAGCACGTAGTAGATATGCACATTTAATGACTTCTCCATTTGTTTTAGTGAAGATTCTAAAACTATATCAAAAGGAATATTATGATGAATACGTTTTGCCTTTATTACGCAAGCCAAAAATAACATTTGATATCAAACTTGATGACTCGTTTTTGATAACAGATATTAGACGTAAAGCTGAAAATCATCAGTATAAAAACAGTTCTGAAGTAATTGAGGATTTATCACGTGTAATCCGTTTTGTAGATTGTGGAAATAAATATTTCATTCAGAAAGATTACAACATACACGACAAAATGAATCAAATATCATTCGTTCTTCAATCAAACATGAAAGAGTCACTTAAAATGATTAAGTTATTTAAAGAAGAAGGTAAAACAATAACAGCATGGGACGTACTACTAAATCAATTGTCTTCATTAACCGTTAAGGGTGTTTGCTTTAAATCTGATTCCCCAGATGTTTTCTCAACGTTTCAGGGTTATAAATACAACATTCTCGAAAAAGTAGATTACTCAAAAATTGAGATGTTTATGGATTTCATTAAAGAAGTCATATGCGATAATAACGATGAAGTGTATAAATACCTTCTCGGCTGGATTGCATCAATGATTCAACATCCTGGAATCAAGAATGAAACAGCAATTATTTTGAAAGGACTTCAGGGAACAGGTAAAAACAGATTCACGGATATTATTTCTGAACTTCTCGCCGGTTATTCATGTAAAAACATTACCGAAATAGGTGAGCTAACGGGTAATTTCAATTCAGTAGTTGAAAATAAAATGTTTCTTGTACTTAATGAACTCAAGAATGTTGGTGAAGACAGACTCGCAAACTTCAACGCTTTGAAATCAATTATAACGGATAATGAGATTAGAATTAATGAAAAGAATCAACCCAGAAGAACTGCTCAGAACGTTGCAAACTTCATTTTCGTAACTAATAACGTTTACCCTGTCAAAATTGAAGTTGGAGACAGAAGATACGTAGTTTTAAGAGTTAATGGTAAATTCAAGGGTCAATTTGATTACTTCAAGAATTTAATGGATTCATGCACAAAGGAATTTTATGATAACCTTTTAACATATTTTATCAATTACGACCTTTCATCATTTAATGTACGAATCATACCGATGACTGAAGCCAAACAAGATTTAATAGAATTATCAACAAATCCTTTAGATGTATGGATAAATACACATTATGATGAATTGTGTGCAGGTATGATATGTAAAAATGCTCTATTCTGCAAACCATCAGACATGAAAGACAAGAATTTCCAAATGAGCATTAAGGATAAATGTGATAGGAAACAGAGAAGAATAGACGATAAACAAACATGGTGTTATGTTTTGAAAGAAGAAATGAAAGGATTATATAAACAGGTTGAACCAAACGATAATGAGGATTCATTTACTGACGATGAAATACCTGTAAATGATGCTTTATAAAGTATGATTGGAATTTATTTTTGCATTAATCCTCCTGTGTTGTCAAAATGTCATGTTGTCTCATTTTTTCAGAGAAGTTAAATGACCTGGTGACATGGTGACATGGTGACACCTTCAGTTCTTCAAAAATAATTCATAACTGCCATCCTCCTGTGTTGTCAAAATGTCATGTTGTCTCATTTTTTCAGAGAAGTTAAATGACCTGGTGACATGGTGACATGGTGACACCTTCAGTTCTTCAAAAATATATTTTTGCTTAAATGACGTCAGGGTCAATTTCTTCAACCATTTCACTTCCTTCGTCAATGTCAATAGAAGCTTCTTCAACCTTTGGTAAGAATTTCTGTATAACATCTTTGTTCGTTATTGTCTTCAGAGATGAAGGATAATATTTCACATTTGTTTCACCCTTCTTATATTCTTTCTGTTCGGAAAGATTCATAGCAATACTGAAGAAGTCAATGTTAGAGTTCTTTATAACAGTATAATGAGTATCTTTGACATTCACGAAGAAACTCTTTTGTTTCAAAACTACTGCTAACTCTTGTGAAGTATAACGTTTGCGGTCAATGACGATAGCTAATGGTCTGACATACTGACCAAACTTAGATTCTTTCACAAACTTCTTGTTAAAGATAACATTAACATTTGAAGCATTACTGAACTCATTCTTGATGGCATTAGCGAGAGCATTGTATGAAAAGAACTTGCAATCTTGCATGTGTTTCATTAAAATAAAAATATTAAATTATTTTGAAAAATAACTTTAAAAAATCTAATCTAATTTTTTCAAAAAATATTTTTTTATTTCCTACTAAAGATGTATCGGAAGTTGTCTAAGTTAGAACACTCGGAAATAAAACAACTTCTTACAGAAGCTAATATAGATGTTGCAAAGCATTACGCAACAAACAAAAAAGCACTCGCTGACTTCATTAAAGACTATAATGGTGCAATAAGTTATGATAGAATTCATGAGTTCATAAATGCAAGAGCATTTCCTTTAAATGACGTTGCTATTGACTTATATCATAGACGTTCAGTACCTCATGAAGTAAGAAGAGAAATGTTTGACATAACAAATGCGAACGTTGGTCATACTCGTAAAGCTCTTTCGCATGATGTTCGTCAAGAAATGTTTGAACTTACGAACTCAAACGTTGGTGAAACACGAAAGAGAGACGACACACTGAAACAACAGAGAAGAGAGATGTTTAAAAGTGCTATAGAACAAGTTCGCAAAGCTAATAATGTCATTCGTTCCATTGACGACAAACCAAAAGAAGGTGAGAGATGGTTAAAGAAAGATGAAGAGAATAGGAAGAGGAATGTTAAGACAGGCAATAGACTCATTGACTTTAACATCGAAGCTTTAGATGAACCAAACAGAGACTACTTACACAAACATTTCGGTAAGGTTTTCATGAGACTCTTAGAGAAAATTAAAATAAACTCACAACAGAGATGGATGGTATGTTATAAACTTGGTGGAAAGTATGAATGTTCTACGTTAAACCTCAATAATATTGGAACATTACTACATCAGCTCTTGAAGGAGAACTTTATATCAGAGATAGAAGCAAATGCTGCAGGTATTGTTGAAATGCACTATGACTTCTTCTTGACAAACATAAAGAATCTTACTGAAATAAAGATGTATGATTTAACAGAATATGAAGGCTTAACGATGTCAGATGTTAAGAAAGGAAAGCCACAGAAGCGACCATATAGAGATGAAAGCACACTGACAGAAAGACAGAAAAGATTATTGAACAGACTTAAACAATCAGGAGATAAACAAGATATAGATGACTTCTGGAATGAAATCCTTGGTGAAAAGAAGTTTTATAAGAAGAGAAGCGGTCAGTTCTGGAAGTATCTTTGCACATTACCTATAAATCTTGAACGCTACCAAATCTTCAATGAACTGAACAAAAGAACTGCAACACTTATGACAGAAGACAATTGTTTCGTTTATGCTTGCATTCAGGCTGGAGTAAATGAAGAAACTATTGACCACATGAGAGAAGTCATTCGTGTTAGAGACTTTCCACAAAGTAAAGTACAAGAAATTTCTGACGCAACAGGTATAGCATTTAATGTTACCATTGGTTATTTCGACAACTCCAAAGATAACAGAATAATTCACTACATACCAAAAGAATGTGAAACTGCTCAAACTATTGACTTACTTCTTATTGAAGACCACTACATGCTAAATGAAAGATTACCAATGACAACATACTTCATCAGAAATTACAGAGAAATCTTGAAGGAGTGTGGTGGAATGAACATTGAGAAACAGATGAAGATTTATACAAAGAGAGAGAACAAATATGTTGTTCGTAATGATAGAACTACACCTCTATGGGATGTTATGAAAACATTGTGGGAGTGCAAATATTTCGAACCTATTTCTTATGGAGAACTTTTCACATATACGACTGACTTATATAAACAGAACCTTGCACCATTTAAAGATTTGACATATGCTCCAAAGTATTGTGTACAACTGAAGAAGAAAGCAGAGTCAAAAGAAGTAAATAAAGCTAAATGTAAGTTCATTCCTGAGCACGTTTTCTTTGCTGACTTTGAGTGTAGTACCGATGGCTTTCATAAAGCTTTTAACATCTGTTATGACAGTGAAGATGGTTCAGTGAGTGAAAGCATTTGGGGTCAGAACTGTGCAACAGAATTTTTGGAACGACTTCCTGACAAGAGTTTAATATATTTCCATAACCTCAGTTATGATATAAACTTCATCTTAAGACACATGACAGAAGTGAAAGGAACTCCCATCATTAAAGGTTCACGAACAATGCAAATAACTGGCTTATATAAAGGAAGGGCAATTATTATAAAAGACTCTTACAGTGTTATAAATAAGAAGCTTAAACTATTTCCTGCTATGTTTAACTTACAAACAGGACCGAAAGAAGTATTTCCATACAACTACTACAGCAGTGTTTTGTTAGCAAATGACAACAGAACTGGTGTCATTTCTGAAGCATGTAAGTTTATCCGGGATGCAGATACATTCATGAAAAACATAGATTCCATCAAAGGTTGCAGAATAGATGAGAATCACTTCGACTTAGAAAAGTATAGTACGTTTTACTGCAAACAAGATGTAAGAATTTTAAGAGAAGGTTTTGTAAAGTTCCGCAATGACTTATTGAAAGAGTTTGATTTAAACGTTTATGACTACGTTAGTATTTGTTCTATTGCTAACAAATTGTTTGAGAACAGAGTGTACTTCCCGAATGGAAATCTTTATGACCTCTCAAATAAACCAAGAGAATTTATTTCACGCTGTATTCAAGGTGGAAGATGTATGCTGTCAGATAACATGAAACAAAAGAGCAAAAAGAAACTCATTGCTGACTTCGACGCTGTTTCATTATATCCATCCGCTATAGCAAGACTTTATACTTTAGAAGGTATTCCAAAAGTATTGAAGGATGAGATGTTAAGTTCTGAATATTTGTTAAAGCATTTATTCGATGACGACCAAAAGGAACCCATTGGTGAAAAGTTTATGTCTGGCTTCTTTGTTCTCATTAAGATAACAGAGATTGGTATACCCAGACACTTTCCTTTAATAGTTTGTGACCCTGAACTAAATCCAGAACTTAACGTTCCCAGAAGTTCAAACACTTGCTGTTTAATGTATGTTGACCATATAACATTACAAGACCTCATAAAATATCAAGGTGTCAAATGTGAAGTGTTGCAAGGATACTATTACGATGGAAACAGAGATATTAGAATAAGAGATGAAGTAAAGAAGTTGTTTGAGTTAAGGTTAAAGTATAAGAAAGAAGGAAATCCTTTGCAAGAAAATATAAAGCTCATTCTGAACAGTATTTATGGCAAAACTATTCTATCTCCTATTGAGTCAAAAATAACCATAGTAGATGACAAAGATGCTATAAGATATACCATCAGAAACTACAACCATATAGTGAAGTTCGAAGGTTTGGACGGTTCAGATAAAACTATTTTCAAGCTAACGAAAAGCATTTGCAGACACTTTAACTTCTGTCCACTTGGTGTTAATATTCTGTCAATGTCGAAGAGAATAATGTGTGAAGTATTCTGTACTGCTGAAGACTTAGGAATGGACATCTTTTATAGCGACACCGACAGTATGCATCTCTACAATGAAGATATCCCTCGTTTAGCTGAAGAGTTTGAGAAACGTTATGGAAGAGTTCTCATTGGTAAAAACCTTGGTCAGTTTCATAGTGACTTCGCAGAAATAACACCTGGAAAACAAAGTTTAGCATACAAGTCAATATTTTGTGGAAAGAAGACTTACATAGACTTACTCACGAATGATTTAAATGAAGTTGCATTTCACTGCAGAATGAAAGGCGTGAAGCAAGATGTTATTGCTTTAACCGCTAATGAAATGTTTCCTGACTCTGTTCAGTGTTTCTATGATGAAGATAAAGGTTTAATGGTTCCGCAAGGAAAATTTGACAAAGACTCTGAGTTCAGTGTTATGAAGTTATATAAAGCACTTTATGATGGTCAAGAGATTGGATTTGACTTATGTAAGTCTTCTAGTCCTTGCTTTGAAGAGAAGTTTAACTTCTCAATAACGACTAAAACAAGCTTTATTCGTAAGTTGAAGTTCTGAGGTCATTTATTTTTGTCAGCAATGAGGTCATGAATGAGGTCATGAATGAGGTCATGAATGAGGTCAGCAATGAGGTCATGAATGAGGTCATGAATGAGGTCAGCAATGAGGTCATGAATGAGGTCATTTATTTTTGTCAGCAATGAGGTCATTCGTGATAAAAATAAAGCTAGCGTAGATTTTACAATACTGCGATGGTAGAGTTTAAGAGTTGTGCTTCAATGTAGAGACAGTCCTTATGGTCTGGAGGTAAGAACACTGGGCAGTTATGGTCATGAGTGGAGAACATGTCTATCCAAAACTCACGATTGAAGCCAGTTAATTTATAGTATTTAGGGTTAGGAAGTGGTGAAGTTCTTGTATGACCAATGAACTCATTTTCAACTCCCTTACTTAAGTTTGAATATAATATAGCTTGCTTTCTATCCCAAATGCCAGGTGTTACAATCTTTGAAAATTCATTTTTCCTCGGAAGCATTGCATCATAATTGAAAACATTCTTGAAATCATCACTTGGTTCAGAGATTTGAAATCTTATACGTAATGGATTTTCTTTCTCTTTAGCGACTTCATTGAATGGTGAGAATACAACAAACTGACAGTCATGTGTTCCATCTTCATTTTCATTAAATTCATAATGAAAGTCTATAAGTTGTGGCTGACTACCTTCTTCTTTCAGTTGTGCAAGAAACTCACGTAAAGGCTGTAAAGTTTGTACTTCAATGTTGAACTTTTTCTCGAACATCTCATTAAATGAAATCATACATTGCAACAATGTTGTATCGTCTTTAAAGTATTTGTATATGTGAATGTTTTGGGCGCTTAAAGACTGTTCGTCATTTTCTATCTCGACTTGAAGTATAAAGTCAACCTTTCTGAAAGCACGTGTTATATACATAGATGTTATGCCAATGTACTTCTCTTCATTTATGTTCACAATCCAGTCTGTTGGAAACTTAAACGTTACTCTGTTCCCCTTTATTTTGACGTCAGGGTTTTCACTACTGAACGCAACAGATAAAGGTATTTGTCTATACATTTAATTCGGATAAAAATAAACCATTTACTCTTTCTTTGCTTCAGCTTCCTTTGCTTTTGCTTCAGCTTCTTCTCTAGCTTTTTTCGCCAGTAGTCTTGGGTTCTTTTGTCTTCCAGCAGCTAATGCAGCAAGTTGTTTTTCACTAAGTTTTCTCTTTGGTTTCTCTGGCTTTTGTTCTGGTTTTTGTTCCTTCAGTTCGGATAAAATTTGCTCACGAATTTCGTTCTTCAATGCTTCAACATCTATGACCCCTTGGGTCTTGTCCGTAGGGCTTGTCTGAGTCATTTGACTGCAGATAAAAAACAAAATTAAAACTTTAACCGATGTAAAATGAGCTTGTCAAAATCAGAACGAGAGTCTATTATATTAAATGACGCCAGAGGAATACAACATCCTTTCTATTACGTAAATCAGAGTAAAGATGGTAAAATATATGTAAGAAAAAGAAAGGTTCCATTAGCGAATACAGAGAGCGACAACATTAAGGTGCATGGCACCGAGGGCGAAGCCCATATAAAACCTTCTATTCAAATTGAAAAGTCAATAGAACCAGAAGAAAAGAAGCCAGATGTACTTTCAATAACGAACCAAGAGCTTATTGCAAAGTTCGTGAATTTCATTGAAAAACAAACCGAGTCAAAGAATCCTGACCCGCCAGTGAAAGAAGTTGAGACAAAAGAGAATGTACAGTTCATTGAAAATGTCAAGAAACAACTTCCACCACGAATGCCAAGAAGAAGAGTGAGAATAATGAAGTAAATAGATATTTTTATCCGAAGTAAATACATGCAGAACGAACAGCTAAACGAATTTACTCCAGCAGAGCATATTCATCAGATTCGCTCATATTTCGATATCATAGACAATGCAGTTCAAATTGGTGACACTAATAGAAAATATTCTGACGCAAAGATTCCATCACAACCTGGAACTGCTAAAGATAACACATGGGTAACATTCAATCTCTCACCTCCTGGTGAAAATATGTTGGACCTTTACAATACATTCATTACGTATAAAATGGAAGGTCAATTTATTGTAGATAAAGAAATTGGTTCAGGTTCCAATAAAACAAACCCACCAGGATTTTGGATTGGTTTCGATGACGCTTTCTATGCAGTTGCTGGATATCAAATCCTTGCAAATGGTCGTATCGTATATTCTCAAGACAACGCAAGAGAAGAAGCATATATAACTTCAAACTCACAAACTACCGAACAAATAAAGAAAGTAGATGTTTTCTCAAAGACTCGGCATGAAGATGTATGGAGTCATTCGGGAACATGCAGAACAGGACAAATTGTTAGTGGTCCAATTACAGCAGGAAAATCATTTGATTTTAAGCTTCGTTTAAGAATTCCTGTTAGAAGATTCCTTCCATTAGAAGCTATTCGATTTATTCCAGCTTTTGCAGGAAACATTCAACTTAAAGTAAAGTTCAGTAGCGACGCCTTACAATGCACATCTATATCTGTAAATGATATCATTGCTTTCAATCCAACTCTTAAAGTTGCATTTGCTTCAGATTCAAATTCACCGACAAATAAATTTGTTCCATGGAATGAACCATTCACTATGATAACGAAGGCAGTAGAAGCTAGTGGAACAGTTACTATTACAACTGTAACCCAGCAACTATTTCGAACAAAGATGGATTTTAATGAATGTTTCATTCATCCAAAATCATTCTCTTTAGACCCTAACATTTATACAGAACTTGTAGAACATTATACAAACGAGGCTTTATGTTTTCCTGTTAAAGTTATGGATTGGATTCCTATGGACGGTTCATTCTCAAAGAATACAGATAGTTCAAGTGCAACATTTACAGCAGCTTATACGCCTATTAATGTTAAAAGTATTTGGGCACTATTTAGAAAGAAAGACAACTATTATGTTAATTTTGAGAACCCTAAGTTTAAATATCTTCAGCTTTCCATGGGAGCTTATGGAAATATGCCTGCAGAACCTGAAAAATCATATGGACCTGTATTTTATGAAATGGTTGCGAACGCCTGCAATACAAACAATGATATGATAGGATTTAATGAAGATGTTATGAGGTCATTGGTGGATGATGGTAGTGTGGAACATAAATGGGATAGCTATGACAACACACATTTCTTATGTGGTTTTCCAACAGAAGTGGACTTTTGCTTCCAGCAAGGTCAAACATCTACTGCTCCAATAACATACAAATTGTCTGTTAACGGACCTATTGAACTAGCAACTGAAAATGTACCAAAGCCACTTATTGGATTTATGAGGGATTGTTGCTTTGCCATTCAGGTGCGTACTAATGGCATCCCCATAATAAGATTAGATGACTATAACTTAGCTACGGACGACAGTGAGGAATAAAGGATGAACGTTTATTTTTAAAGCTTATAAATGAGTTCTTCATCAAGCTCTCGTGAACCTTCACCATCTATGAAACAAACTTTACCAAACGATTATGGAGCACCTATTGAATATTTCTTACGAGCTGCACAATGGCAAAGAGCAGTCTCACCAAGGTTAGGTGTTCCACCAGCTCCTGTCAAAAATAGCATTTGGTCAAGTCCTTATATAAAATATGGTCTCCCACTAGGTTTGCTAGCTACAGCAGTAGCAGTTATGATGTTGAAAAGAAATAAAGCAAATGTTGTAAATAATACTGAAGTAGTTGAAGTTAAACAAACTCCAACACCTTCGCCAAAACCAACGTCAAAAACCAACGCCTTCACAAACAACACCTTCAATGACTCTTGAACCTATGGAATTACAAACTCCTGTTCAAAAGTCAACTCCAAAACCGACTCCAACATTTAAACCAGAACCTACACCACAAATAAATCGTAAAACTCCTGCGTTTCCTTACTGAAAAAATAACGTTATTTTTATTTAATATTAAAATTTTTATTTGATTGAAATGACAAATAAAGTCACTGAAGCAATGAAACAAAAGTTTTTGGTAGAATACATTAAATCAGGAACTATTCCAGAAGGTTTTTACATTCATACTATGAAGGATGGTAGAGTTCAGTTTAGAAAGATAAAGCAACCATTAGATAAAGAAGGAATTTTGAGAAAGATTAAACTTCATGAGGACAACATTGCTGAACTTAAGAAGAAGTTAGAAGAGTTAGAGAAAGGAAGAGAGTTATAAAGCAATGAATTCAACAGGGTGAAAAAAGAGGTGAAAAAAGAGGTGAGATCTCACCACTTCACCTAAATTTATTTTTGGGCTATGTTTTCATACGTGTGAGAGTGGTGATATCATTTATTTTTTATTTTATTTTTTAAAATTATTTTTATTTTATTTGGATGTAATGACAGAACAAAAGCAACTCATACAAATCAAAACATATAACAAACATACATTTAAACATTTATTCTTCCTTCCTGAGCATAACATGTTCTTTCAAATACATCCTAGACCAGTTGACTTTTCATTGACTGTGTATAAAGATAGAAATAGTTATATCATTAAACCATACGATGACGAAGGTAAGTTATGTAAATTGTACGTTAAGAAGTTAGAGAAAGTTTATGGCTTCAAGTATGACTACAATAGGGTTAACACTGATGATGAAGATATTGAGGAAAATTTATGAGAACATTAGTGAAGTTGTTAGTGAGAACGATAGTGAGAACGTTTATTTTTTACATTAGTGAGTTCGTTAGTGAAGTGAAGTGGTTGGCGGCTTTGTAAATATTTAAGGTTAAGTTAGTGTTCGTGTTTGTGTTGTAAAATATACGTTAGCGGTTTTGTAAAGTGTCAAATTCACAAGTATTGGGTAAGGTGGAACGCAGTGCCACCATACCCAAGACTTGTATACTAACTAATTTACCTAATTGGTATTTCCAATCAGATTGAAGAAGGTAAAATGACATGGGAAGAAGCTTGCACCCATGTTCCCATCGCCCCAACCCTTCAATCAAATGATTTCAAATATTTAGATGTTTCAAAATTTTTTTACAAAATCAATTTAGCTTACAGAATATCCCATTGCCTAAAGGCAAGAAAGGTCGTAGGGTCAATCCCTACGACTAAATCAAAGCTCTTGCTGTGATACATGACCACTGGGTCTTTCCCTGTGGTCAAACAAAACAATGGAAACGTTTGAAATTACAACAAATTGATGTATCTTATAGAGAAGTACGCAGATACTTCAAAGAAAATCATTTCACCAAGACGCGATTAGAGCATGCCGGGCCAGAAACAGCAGTAAGATATTGGGCGCTTTCACCCAATCTTATCTGGCACGCAGATGTTCATTATTTTAGGGGTGTTCGTGGCCAGTATATTTATGGCATAATCGACGATTTTAGCCGCAAAGTCCTAGCGTGTATACAAATACCGAACAATCTTACATATGCAGCCGAAGCACACTCACAAATTACTCTCAATATCCACTCAAATCATACAAAGTTTTGTCGAATAGTTTGATATAAAGACAAAAAATTTACAATTTTTAATTAAATCCGAACAATCTTACATATGCAGCAAAAAAAAAAAGGTATTGGGGCTTCCAGGGCTGCGCCCCTCTAGCCCCAGTCACTTTTCTGTCACTTTTCAGGTAAAAACATTTTTATTATATATATAAAATGAATTTTACAAAACCACCGTTACCCTTCTTTGGAAATAAGAGTAGATGTAAAGATATTCTATTGAGAGAACTTAAGAAACTACCGAATGGTCTAACATTTGTAGATTTGTTCGGTGGAAGTTTCTATATATCTCATTTGTGCCATACTGTATTTCCTGACTCAAAGATTATATGCAATGACTTCGACAACTATATGAACCGTCTCAAACATATACCAGACACAAACAAAATATTGAAAGAGTTAAAAGAAAAGATACCTATAGGCAAGATGGAACGTATACCATTAGATAAGAAAAATACTGTCAGAGAGGTTTTGAAAAAAGCAGAGTATATTGACTGGGATAGTATATCTTCTAGACTATTATATAGTGGTGCTATAAGAGTTCATGACATTGAAACACTTATGTCAAAAGTTTTATATCTTAACTATACAAAGGTTTTCAAAGAGAACATAGAAAAATATACTGAGGGTATAGAGTTTGTGAGATGTCGTTGGACAGAGTTGTATGAAAAATATAAAAACAAGGAAAATGTTTTCTTTATAGTAGACCCGCCGTTCTATAACACATGGGATTTTCAATACCAAGTAGACTGGACTTTGAGAGACTCTTTAGAAACTTTAGACGTTTTACATAACCATCCATGCTTTTACTTTACATCCGATAAAAGTGGTTTGGAAAGTGTCATGAGATGGTTAGAGGACATACATGACTATGAGTTTAGATATGACAAGATAGAATATGAGAGAGGTCCCATAAACTGGAGAAAGTGTCATAACAAAGAAATTTTATTGGTAACTAAATGTGGTTTGAAATAGGACTACTTGTTTTAGGTTTTTTCCATTGTGTCATTTACTTATTTGACGTGGCAGAAAGATATAGAGAATATGAAGATGAACCAATACCAGCAAATGTTCAGCATATGTACTCGTAAGAGATATTTTTATCTAATATTAAATGGACGCACAGAACTTAGCGAATGCACAGCAACCTGGACAACCAAACCCAGAGAATATTCCAAATGAAGTTAGAATACAAACTGCAATGGCAAACTATGGTCAAGTGCCAACAGATGTACAAATGCAAACTGCCATGTCAAATGACGCTGCGTTAGGTTTGCCACCATGGTATGCAAATATGAGATGGAAAGAGTTTTATACAAACCCTGAAGTGGGATATAAACAACTCTATGCAGATGACGCGAACACAGGAGTTGACCCAGAGTATGTTTTCTACCAGAGGAGAAATAGAATGTATGAGCTCCAGTTAAAAAATGCTATGGAACTCAACAGGAAACGTAAGAGACTAGGTGGACATTAGATTTTTACATATAGTAAAATGGGTTTCTTTGGAAGAATAGGAAACTTCTTTCGAAATGTTGGAAGAGGTATATGGAATGGAATAAAATCTGTCGGAAGAGGAATTTGGAACGGAGTCAAAAATATTGGTAAAAGAGTAGGTCAGTTCGTTGGTATTATACCTAAAGACCCTGAACCAGAAGAACAAGCTCCTGTTATACAACAGCCTGAACCTGCACCACAGTCTAGTTGGCAACCAAATCCAACACCTCAACCGTATTAAAATTATATTTTTACCGTTCGATAGTAGTTGTATATGAGACTAAGTTCTAAGTAAAACGCATGGTATAATGGAACTATTCTCTTTCTTCCATCTGTTGTAAACCATACTTGAAAGTCTGAAATACTTCCACTTGGTGGTTCATATAGCTTTGTAGGTTTTTCGTAAAAGTCATTTGCCAAGCATAAAAAAGAGTTTTGTGCACCAGAAAATGAAGCATGAACTATAATAGCATCTGAGTCGAAAACATTTTCATATGTTCCATTAGGGTTTTCGACTTCATAAAAGTTCGGGTGTACTGGATATTCTGCAGGCTGATTTAACATCCTCAAAAATCTATACCATGCCAAGTTGTTATATTTTGTAGAAATATAAACGTCTTCTCCAAGGTCTTCTATTCTATTGATTTTAACAGTTGCATTTTTCCTGTCATATAAAATATCGAGATGGTACTCTCCTTCGTCAATGTTAAACTGGTTTGCATATTCGATATAGATATCGTTTATTTTTTCTTGAAAAGCTTGAAGAGTTGTTTCTAAGTTTACAAGCAAATTCACTTGTAAAAGTTTTCCCTGTTCAAATTTCTCATACGTATGTTTTTCTTTGTTATAGTATCGAACTTCAAAAGCGACCGTAAATGGGAAACCATGTATGGCTTCTGAAATGAACTTCATTCTACGAAAGCCAATAGCTTTTGTGACGGATGGGTCTCTTAACCATCTTAAGGGGTAGTCAAAACGATAGCCTTCATGCTTTACGGTCTCTGTCTCAAACTTTTGACCGACATTCGTAAAAAGTTCATCTAATGGTTTAGTTGTAGCAACTCTTGAATTTTCTTTTTCTATTGAAAGCATATTTTATCTAGAATAAAAATGTCGAAAGAAACAGCGTCTATGAGAGAAATACAACACAACCGACAACTCATTGTACAAGCTCTAAATAAGAACACAACAAACTTTTCAAACTATTCTAAGATATCTGAGTCATTGAAAGAAGGAAACTTAAAACTGACGATAAACCCAATGACAGACGAGTTTCTGTTTCAAGACAGTAAGAACCATACTGTTTGTATAAATCCAACAAAAAGAACTTTAAACGAGAAACCTATAGATGAACTTCTTTTGAAGGCAGATATTGACAACAAAGCTGACAAAGAGTATGTAGATGCAACAAGAGACTATATTCTCGCATGGACAGATAGAACATACCCACAAAAACATCATACACATAACATCTATGACGTAGATGAACTTCAAGAAATGTTAGATGACAAAGCGGATAAAACATATGTTGACAATAAAATGTCAAGTGAAGTGACAAGAGCTGACAAAGAATATTCTAAAAAGACTCATACACATACCATTGCAAATATTACAAACTTACAAGAAACCTTAAACAAGAAAAGTGACGTTGGACATACACACGATTTCTTCGCAACTGTTGGTATAGAAAATATTGCAGGAACGGTTGAAGAACCTGATGGAACTGGTGGGGATGTATTAAATTGGAAACCTCCTAACTTTCCACAAGGTTTAACATCGGAGGATGACATAACATCGGATAAAGACATTAGATGTAGAAATGTCTATGTCATGGAGGATGAAAACAAAGTTAAATTCACTGCTCAAGATTTATATGATAAAAAAGCTGACAAAACAGAGCTTCAAACGTTAAAGACAGAAATACTTCAAACACTATATCCTATAGGTTCTATTTACACGTCAATGAACTCTACCAGACCAGAAGTAGTACTTGGTTCGGAACTTGGACTCAAATAGTCGACAGGTTTTTGTATTGTGCAAACTCTTCAAAGGAAACAGGTGGAAGTAAAACGATTTCAGGTGAAAACTTACCTGCGCATAGTCACTATAGATTTAAGTACATCTCAAGCAGGTTGGCATAAGCATAGATTTTGGGATTGGTCAGCAATGAAAAAAGGTAAAGGATATGATGTTAAAGACAACGTTCAGTTTGCTATAAATTGTTTCTGGGTAGCACACAGAGGAAGGAAACCATACACATCGCGTTTCAGGGTATACGCAAACAACGGGACAAAGTAAAGACTACATGCCACCTTACATGACAGTTTACGCATGGTATAGAAATGCTTAGTCGTCATTTTCAACTTCTTTAGCATATTCGTCAGGAGTTGTCTTATATTTGTTAGGAACTGTCTTTGAAAGTATACCACCTTGAACTTTGAACAAGTTGAAAACGAGGTCTGACAATAGTAGTTTTATCTTCTGCTTGCAGTCTGTACATTTTGCCATGTTTGCCTAAAACTTCATAATATTCTCTTGTATACTTTCTTCTATTTTTACGAACACGAATGTGAGTACCTGTCGAGTTCCCATTGTTGTCATAGTCAATAGTATTTTCATATGGGTCGCGTTTAGGTATTTCTATTTTTACTTTGTCACCTTTCTTAAGTTTGAAGCCTGGCATTCTTTCTTGTTTGTCTCTTTTGACTAAACTATTAAATATATAGTCTTTCTCTAAGTCGGGTTTGTTTTTCATTTCTTCGGGGGAGTGGTTTCCCAAACCTTTTTGTTTACGGCTATTGTAAATATTTAAAACTTGTCTCATCTTTGCCATGGAGAAATGTCTATACTTGTCGTCATATGACATTTCATCTACCTCACCACCTTGTGGTTGATTTAAGTCTCTTAAGATTTTTATACAACTGTCAATGACACCAAGAGCAGAATGGTTTTGGTCGACAATGAAATATTGGTTTACATTTTTTGAACGCAGATAGTTTTTAATATCGTCTGATTTGAAAGAACTTTCACAGTCAGATGTCAGTTTTGTTGGATGGTATTTGTCAACGAATATTGTCAAAGCAGTTTTCACATCTAAAATATTTTTGGACCATAATGGTATGGCTTCACAGTATCTTGTGTTTTGACCGACAAATATAAACCAGTATGGAGGTCCATCTGTTCTAACTCTCGGAATGTTTTCCAAGATATCCATAAACCAAGCATTTGGTGTTGAACTAAAGATTTTTACCATGAGTGCTTTCTTTGTTGCTTTAGAAACATACGGGTCCTTGTTTGAATTCGTCATTTTTAACCCATAAGAAATGGGTTTATTTGGCGCAATAGCAGGAGTCGCATCTAGATTTTTGCCCGCAGTGGGAACACTAGCCAGAGGTGCATTTGGAATTGGAAGGAAGATTTTGAGTACATTAGGTATACTGAAAGAGAAAGCACAACCTATTATACAAACCGTACAGAAAGGTTGGGATGTAGCACGAGATGCAGCAAATCTTATTCCAAATCCTGAAACAAGAGGAAAAGTTCAAGGATGGATGGACAATGTAGGAAGACAAGCAGGAAACTACTATAACAAAGCAAATGACTACTATAACCAAGCAGGACACTACATGGACCAAGGTGAAAGATTCTTTAACAGAGGATATAACCATGCACAACAGTGGGTAAACAACAACCAACCTCAACCGCCTCAAACTTGGGGAATGTAAAATTTTTTACTGAGATGAAATGAACAATACAGCTTTGAGACAAATGGGTTCAAGATGGCTTTGTCGGCTTCCAGCAGTTACACAACCACGTGTTTGTCAAGTTCTTCCTATACCTCAGGAAGTTTTAGACCGACTTAAAAAACCTCAACAACCAGTTGAAAACAAACCAAACTAAAATTTTTTACTGAGATGAAATGACCGAAGAAGTTGAAACGGTAGATTTGACACCACAAACAAAAAGTTCAGAACCATTGTCAAAACCTGTCAAAGAACTTACAGATGAAGAGAAAAATTCAATAATAGAAAGTGCCAGGTCTGGAAATACAAACCCTAACTACAAAGTCACTTTTCATAAAAATGGAACGGCTAGTATCTCAAAAAAGAAACAGACTCTCACAAATAAAATATTGAAGTCTGAAGGAGCTTTCGAGACAACAGATGGAAAAGTTTACTTCACTGACCAACAGTTCATTATAGAACATCTCATTGACTTAGAGTCGAAATATTCTAAACTTTACAACAAACACAAAAAGTTGAAAGGAAAACAAAAACAAATGGCATATGATATTTATGAAGATGTTGACGACACAACTGTTCCAGCAAGTGAGGTAAAGTCAGATGAACCGAAAAGTGACGAAAAACCAATAGAAGAAGGGAAGCCACAAACTGAAGAAAAACCAAAACCAAAGGTTAGTTTCCAAACTAAACCAAGTCAACCTTCATTAGCTGGTATGGGTTGGCGTCAAAGACTTTTGGCAGCCGGTGGTTATGTAAAGTAAAGAAAAAACATTTTTTTTATTTTTATAAAAAATGCCCCCGTATAGAATGGATAGAAGGTCTGCTAGAATAAAAGCAGAGTTAGAAAGATATGGTTGGAGAGTTTCGAAGAAGTTTAAATATAGGAAGGGAAGACCCATAAAAGTCTATGACAAATTGTCTGGTCTTCGCTACGAAATGGACTTGGAAACAGCACGCGCAAATTATCCAAACAGATTAGAGAGGTTAGAAGAAGAACGTCTTATGGACATGCCTTTCGATGTTACTGAGCCACAGGTTGAAGGACACGACGGCTTTGCCAGATTCTACTGGAAACATGACGAACAATTGCATCCTTTGAGAAGGAAAAAAGGAAAGGGTGAAGACGCACATGCTCCCATGGAAAGAACAAGATATGCATATGAAAAGTATCGCGAGGTTAGAAGTAAAATTACATCTGGTCGAACCTTTACAGTTAACTTTGACGAAGGAAAGAACAAAGAAGGCTTCATGGGAGTACTTGCTGCCATACAAGACGGAAATAAGAAAGGATACAATCTCAGACTAACCGTAACAGATTTAGATGGTCACATTTACTATGCGCATGGCAATGAACAAACAGCCGCACAACTTCTTGACGCTTTCAAGACTACAAAGAGAGAACAAATGTTTGACTCCGACTCAGATATTTTGAATGCAATTGAAGGAATTGCAAGCGTGAAGTTCGAATGGTACCAACCTAACCCTCAAGCAGTCAGACAACATGCTGGATACTTCCCGTTCAGAAATAAGTCTGACATTGACTTAACAAGGTATGGAATTTACAATTCAATTGAAAAAATTGTCAATGAACCTTGTATTCTTACATGTCTCAGGAACTCTGGTCTTGTTACAGATGAGAAGATGAAGTATCTTGAGTCATGTGTGAAAACAAGGTACATTCTCAGAAGTCAATTGACAAAAATTGCACCGTTGGCAAATGTCAATATCCGAGTTAACATTCCGACTGAGAAAGGTTCTTCACATGACGACTATGTTGTTGACTTCAAATTGCCATGGTTGAAGATTGTACTTGTCCACAACCACTTCATGTTGAACGAAAGTCTTACAAACCCATTGTTCGGAAAAGGCAAGTGCAACATTGTCAGAGCTGTTAACATTCTTTTCGAGAAAGGTTTGTTGGAACCAATTCCAGATGACAAGCTGACAGAAACTTTTGTACCAAAAGACGAAACAAATTTTTCATTGTTAGTGAGACCAAAAGTTGTTCCAGACAAAGTTATAGCACAAAAGAAGTACACAGTTCCAAAAGGAGTTGGTTTGTTCGGATACCAACCTGAACCAGAAGAACTTCCAATGAGGTTGCAAGAACTTCAAGATGCTATAAACAAACTTCCATTGAGACATCCAGTCGACGTCAAATTGTATTGGAGAGCATCTGAGCTAGGTCAGAAGGTTTTATATGAAACAGGTTGCTTCGACGATGTTTATGAGATAACAGGAGAAGTTTCTCAAAAGATAAGAGACTCGCTTGAATTTCCACGAACTGGACCGATTGGATGCGACAAGTTCGACTCAAACGAAAAAATATACTATGTCGACCTTAACGCTGCGTACATGAGGTTCGTCCAATATATTCCAACTGGAATTCCAAACGAAGACGGTAAGTTCCCGGGAAGGAACTATACAGTTGGAAAAGTCATACAACAACTATATGATATTAGGAAAGCTTCAAACCCCAAACTTGCAATGACAATCAAATTGCTTATGAATTCGACATGGGGATATTCCATTAAGAAACCTCAAAAGATGAAGAGTAAACACTATGAGAAGGTCGACAACTTTGTTGAAAGGTTTTCTCCTTTTGTTTTGAAGTACGAGTTCACCGAAGGTCAAAATGGCTTAGTAACCACAGTAAAACCTATTGTCGAACATTGGTCTTACCCTCAGTTCGCAAAGGCAGTCCTTGACAACTACAACAAATTCTTCTCCGAGGTCAAATCGAAAGTTGTGGTATACTACGAGAACATTGACGCACTCATGACGAACGAAGAAGGATACAACAAACTCATTGAAATGGGTTTAGTCGGTGAAAAGATGGGTCAATTCAAATTGGACAAAATTTTCACCGAAGTTCATGTAATATCGAAAAGGAAGTACTGGGGTGTTAAAGAAGATGGTGAAATAGTTAAACATTGCATGAAATAAAAAATTTTTATTCGAATTTGAATCGGACAGGTCGAGTTACACCATTCTTGGTCTCAAACTCATATATAACCTGTTTGTTTGTATTTTCGTCGACTATGACACGAGACACGAACATTGACCAAACGGACAAAAAGTGTCATTTCAGATGGTCCCGCAGCCAATCGCATTCGAGCACTTCGAAGAAGCCTTACGTTCCAAGGGAGAGGGTGTCTGGTGCAAGGCAGAGGTCATGAGACTCTACGAGCAGTACATCCTCAATGCCTGGGAGGACAAATCGTCCTTGGATTGGCAATTCTACCAACTCCTCTGGGACGACCTCCTACGCAACTGGGATGACGAAAGAGTCCAATTCAGAGGTCAGGAACTACTTGCAAATTACCTTAATTTAAGCTACTTACGCAACTAAAAACTTAAATTTACTCGGGGTTTCCCCCTAAAATAAAATTTTTTTACTCTTAGAACCACTCGAGGTTCTCCTTACGGTTGTTGAGCTTGTCACCGTCAATGTGTCTGACCTTCGTCTTCTTGTTTGGATTTGGAACCCATTGCATACCGACAAGCCTTCCCATGGAAATTGTACCGTAATTCCGAAGGTAAGGCTCAAGTGTCCCAAGTTGTTGAGGACTGGGGTAAGAACCTTGCCGGTCTCCCTGTTGCGGATTTTGTATGGGTAGGGTTGGGAAATTTCATAACTGTCATCGCAACAAGGGTTGCCCAAACTTCCTTTTCTTCGTGTTTCTCTTCTTCTTCCTCTTCTTCTTCGTGTTTCTCTTCTTCCTCGAAAATTCCTTCTTCAATTTGGTACTCACGAAGTACGGTGTTGCATGTTCTGTCCTTTCCGAGTACCTTCCAGATGGCGTCTATCTCTTCGAAGAAACGGTAGATGAGTCTGGCAAGGTTTTGGTTCTCTTTGTTGTATTGGCGCAAGGTTTCCGCGAAATCGTTCAGGACTTTCTTATTGGAAGCTTGGTTCGTGAGGACTTCGACTTTGAGATTGGTTATCTCTTCCATAAGACTACTTTGGATAGTCTTAATGGTGGTTGTCAGATGAGCGTTCAATTGGGCAATTTGAATTTGAACTGGGCGCTTGTCTGGCAACCTTGAAAGGACATCTGCCATTGAGTTTGGCTTCGGTGCTTGTTCGGACATCGAAAAAATGAAGTGGTTTGAGAATGACGGTTTTACTTCAAAAAGCTTGTTATGACGGTTAAGTCATACAACAAGTTTAAAATAATATCTTGTTCTTCTTCTGAACGTTTGTTGTCTCTTCCGATAAAAGTTTCGAACATGAGAACCAAAAAACGTTTTTTGAGATTGCGGAAGAGTTCAGGCAAACGTTCATATTCTGGATATGTTGGGAGCAGTTCGAAACATCTGAGCTGACTTTCGGACAAAATTGGGACAATGTCAACAAATTCATCTTTGGTCGGATTGCTTGAAGGTAAGTCCCTTACATGTAAGTAGCTCTGGTAAAGTCTTCTCATTTCTGCTAACTTTTGGAGTATAGCTTCGTAGTTTAGAAGTTTTAATTTTAATTGTCTTATTCCACTCTTGACATCTAAACGGTAACTATCCATGAGGTCAAGAGTAGCTTTGGTAGCTTTAAGTGGAGCTATCTGTTCCTTGACTTCTGCAATTTTGGTTGCAATTGTGATTTGAGCTCCTTCAAGTTCGCCGTCTATGTCGTTCTCAACACCTTCAACCATAGCTTGAAACTCTTCATCGGTCCATTGAGTTTGGTGTGGGACGAATTTAACTTGCTTCATTCAAAAATGAAAAAAATGTTTTTACTCAAAGCGTGCCATATAGATGTTTACTGTAAAGGTACGATGTCGCCTTCTGAGGTTATGTAGAACGGTTGACCAGAGAAGTGTAAGAGTCCTCTGAGAATTTGGGCAATTCGTACAGTTGGGTTCTCTCTGTTTGGAAGTTGTATCCACGGACGCTTTGCAAAGAACTTCAAGAGGGTTTCTTTCTTCATCTCTTTTATGTCGTCTACAGGAGTGTTTTCTGGTATTTGCAGGACAATTCCGGTGTCAATTTCAATTTTAAGCGCACTTCTTCCAGACACCCAGCCTGCAATGGTCTTGTTTGACTTCAGATGGCTCAGGTAGTTCCTAACTAGCTCATTTATCTCTATAAGGTAGATTGCCTCATCTGCTGGGTCTATGTCGGTCATTGTTTCAAGACAAGTCTTTTACTTTTTCAAGACAAGTCTTTTATTGTTTCAAGACAAGTCTTTTACTTTTTCAAGACAAGTCTTTTACTTTTTCAAGACAAGTCTTTTACTTTTTCAAGACAAGTCTTTTACTTTTTCAAGACAAGTCTTTTACTTTTTCAAGACAAGACCCGTTATTTTTCAAGAAATTTTTTGGTGTAAAGTTCTCAAATTTGAGAACAGTGGTCTTGATTGAAGACGATACCCGTACTTTTTCAAGACAAGTCTTTCACTTTTTCAAGACAAGTCTTTTACTTTTTCAAGACAAGTCTTTTACTTTTTCAAGACAAGTCTTTTACTTTTTCAAGACAAGTCTTTTATTGTTTCAAGACAAGTCTTTTACTTTTTCAAGACAAGTCTTTTACTTTTTCAAGACAAGTCTTTTATTGTTTCAAGACAAGTCTTTTACTTTTTCAAGACAAGTCTTTTATTGTTTCAAGACAATGTCCGACGTACCACCAACCGAGTCCATTCCCAAGCCAGAGGAACCTAAAGCACCAGCCCCTGCACCTCAGCAACCTCAGTTCCAACAAGGACCTCCACCAAATTACTACCAATTTCCACCTCAATGTTACTACCCACCACAAGGCTTCCCGAACTACCCTCCTCAGCCTATGCCTTACTGCCCTAACCCCTGGATGTTCATGTCAAACCCTCCACCCCAATTCCAATTCCAATCTCAATCCAAGAGAGACCAAGAGTTCGAGGAAGGTCTGAACCGTTTACGCAAAGAGTATGCCACAGCCCCTATGGAAGATGACAGGCTTTCAGTCTCTTCCCTAAAGTCGACCAATTCGACTCGTACCACAGATTCGGTTCGTGACCGTGAAGACTACCTCAAGCAGTCTGAGAGACTCTTCATCTTACAGCCATTTACAGTTGGAGCTCTCAAGAACATGCGCAATTACGAAGGTCAAACACCAGCTGGAGACCGCAAAACAGACGTACTCGCAAGAGCCGTCCAGCTCGTCAAGACAAAGACTGAGATAGTCGACTTCATTCTTGCAGCTTGCCCATACAAGTAAAAAAATAAACAATTACGAGTTAAACTTTTTATTCTTTCTTTTCTGAGTTGTTTAGAGCTGGTTTCTCTTGTAGGAACCTTTCGTACTCTTCCATGGTCATGTAATTGCGAATTTTGTACGCAATTCCAGGTTCGTTGTTTTTGAACCTTACGTATGTAACGCTTCCATCCTCCTCAGGGAAGTAAGCTGCTAACATCTGACCAAGTTTTCTCGGTGACTCGGAGCTCATTAAAAATGTCACTTTTTAAACGTTAAGTTTTTAGTCTTATTTTACCCTTTGTTTGTCAATGTAGTATTGGAGCGCAATTTCTCCAAATTCTCTGTGTCGGAGTTCTTCAGCATTTTCCAAGGTGTACCTGGAGAACTCAAAGAAGTTGTCAAGAACATACTGCCATGCTGCTCTTCTGAGTTCGTCGGTATTTTGGAAGTGTTGCACCTTCGAGTCTTCTGACATGAAAAAAATGACCAAATTTCATTATATAACTGTTATTTTTGACGAAGTGAACTTTTACTCTTCGTAAAAAAAATCCCTAAAATCGTGAAAAATTGCGAGTAGGTAAAAACCCCAGTCGCCAAAACTCATGAAAATCGTGAAATTTCTCTAGACCGAGAATTCTCGGCCTTGCATAAAACACATGAAAATCGTAAAAAAAACTCTATGAAATCATATCTTTTATACAAGATAGAAAAAATAAAATTAACGCTAGTTTTTTTAAAATATTTTTTTTTATTTTGTATGTAAGAACAGGAAATGACAAACACTGAGTTTGAAACAGTCAAAAAGATAGACAATGACACCAAAGTGGTTAGAATTGGTGATTTAAACGTAAGATACTCAAAGAAATACAACAAATATTCTTTGTCAGACATTCTAACACCATCTGGAAAGAAAACATGGCATTGGGTTGGAATTGCTTCAACTCAGAAAATTTTGACAAGAAATCCTGAGCTTATGATATCGGTAAGATTCTGTGGAACTACAGCATATCTCATCGACAAAAGTCTTATACCGATAGTTTTGTTATGGATTGACCCAGTTGTTGGATATAATTTCATAACATATGGTTCATTCGATACGGAACGTTGCTGTGAAGGCTTACTTTACATCGTTCAGAAACCGAAGGACTTCAATACAAAGAGATATAAGATAGGAAGAACATATAATATAACTCAAAGATATGACAGTACAGTCAATAGAGTTAAGGTTGTGTTTGTTAACGATATGAGAGCTGCTGAAACAGAACTACTTGAAAAGTTTGAGAAAATGTATGGTGCTCCCACGAAAGGTAAAGAAACGTTTGAAGTAGATGAGATAGAGAAAGCTGTAAAATTATTTGACGAAGTTGCTGAAAAATACATGTAAAGCGTTTATTTTTGGTTTTTTGTGAAAGTCAGAAAATAACGCTAATTTTATTTTTATTTTATTTTTTATTTTATTTTTTATTTTATTTTTTATTTTATTTTATTTTTTATTTTGTATATAAGAACAGAAATGTCAACAACAGAGAACACAACAACTGCTATCGTTCATGAAGCCATAAGTGAAGAATATGAGTGGGTTCAGTATAACAAACAACTCCGTCTCATTCGTTCGGTCAAAGATGACATGTACCAAATGCAAAGTATTTTGAATGCATGTTTTGCTCCAGATACTAAACACGCAGACGACTGGTTCAAAAACCAAAGCACACAAGAACTTTTGAGTGAAATTTCTCTAGACCGAGAATTCTCGGCCTTGCATAAAACACATGAAAATC